GCTCAATAGAAGGCTAGAAAAGATTTCCACAAAAGTTGCCCTTAAGGGAGCATAATGTTAAGCCTCATACTTGGGAGGAGGATGTTGAAAATATTCGAATGTGAGTAGTAGTAAAGTCTCACAATGATTAGAATTAAATTGGGTAAGGACCATAAGTGCGAAAAAGACATATAGACCTGCCACAATTAAGATGCATTGAGCTCACTTATTGTGATTAGTTATTTGGTTCATTGACGGAGGTATCTTTTGTAAAGAGTTTTGGACTCCCCCATACTAGAGGTGTGCATGGTTTAGTTCGATTCAATTTTATTTACCGAACCAAACTGAATTGGAAAAAATAATTCAGTTCTGAAAATCGAAATGATTTATGTGTATTATTTTTCTCATATTACATGAGAGAGAAATCCTCTCGTATACACACAAAGTGCAATATGGGTTCCACTAAATAGAGGAGAGGAAAAACACAAAGTGGATACTTTGTGTGTGCATGAGAGAATTTCTCTATTATGTAATATGAGAAAAATAAAACCTTTGATTTATTAGTTCAATTCAAATCTCAACTGGTTTTACATCAGTTCAGAATTGGTTTTTAAATCAATTCGATTCTTATATTGGTTTTTTGGTATAGTCATGAACTGATTTTTCAAAACCAATATAAGAATCAAGCTTTTTCAAAAGTAGTTCAGTTCAAGAACTATTTTTAAATTTTTTAAAAAATGCAGTTCAATTCAGTTCAAAGTTTAGTTCAATTTTTTGGTTCTTTTGTACACCAATGCCATTCAAATGAAATTAAAATCTTTAGATTTAAGGACGGTTAAGTGCAATTTACCAATGAAACAAAAACAATGATACTTTTTTTTTTCTTGGTATAACCTGGAGATATCCTCAGTGGCGGACTTATTCACTTGCAACTGACTGTAAGTGCACCCATAAAGTTTACCTCCAGGACCTTTTTTGTACTCCTTTAACGGTTTAAAAAATTGCACCTGTCATTTTCGGCTTCCCCGTCTTTCTCATTGTTTGTGTGTTGTTGCGTGCATAAGACAAAAAAAGAGAGAAAGGATCGACCATTCGAATATTCCATATTTCATATCTAAATTTTAGAAGCGGGGGGAAAATCAAATAGATATATACGTAGTCTATATCTGTGTTTATTGAATCACGACTACAAAAATAATAGAATGATTTCTGATTCGACCAATTAAATCGTATCAGTCTCTACTGGGGATTATTACTCATTTTTGTACTTACTGTTTTATTTTCAAATTACTTCTTCAATTAATAAAAGAAAATGGGAGTAGTAAATTTATATTAGGAATTATCTTATCCCATTCGGAAGGATATCATTTCATAATTATCTACGACTGTTTATGCGCTTGCTTGACACACATGTGAGTATTCTAATACTTCTGCGTCCAAAGTTGATTGGTTCAATGATTTTACTATTTTTAACATTGATTATTTTATTTTATATTGAAATGATTGTTATTTGTCCATATCCTAATATTCCAGGACCTTATTCCTTCGTCCATCACATTGTAATTTTTTAGTGGAAAAGGCATAACAAGGGAGGAAATGATGACCCTTTTGGGTGCACATATTGTTAGTGTTGCATACTATCATTTCTTTTCTACTAGACTTGGTGGGGTACCTGACCAGTGGTGAACCTACTGTTGCGCACTTGTCCACAATTTTTTTTATTTTCAATGCGTTTAAAACTTTGTTTAAAAAAAAAAAATTCAAAAACGCTGCCCCTGAACCCCAAAACACCGACAATAAATGTGCAGACATAAATAAAATTTTTTAGATCCGCCATTGGGTATCTTCATTCAACCTCCTCCGGTCACCTTGTCCTCGGAGTACGGCTCGAAGGCTACCCCTCATTGAAACAACGAGTGCATTGAGCTTCGTTATCGGAGGAAGGATGTGACTAATTCTCCATTCGAGGAGAGAGAAACATCCTCTGGCCCTCAAAGATTTTCCAAGAATTTGTTTGAGACATGATTTAAACCCCTGACCCAAGCAAATCCTTGAAAGCTCAGTTGCTTAACCCCACATCTTCATCCAATAAATTCATAAATATTTATACTTATATGACAATTCATTTAGTTCCTTTTTAATTAATAAAAAACTTTATCACATTTTTTTTAAAATGTAAATTTTATTATATATATACACGCACTCCATTTTGTTTCCTTGGACGAGAAAAAGGGGTAGTCTACTCTGGCCCATATTCCTAATGTAATAAAGGAGTTTGGTTCCTATGGATTGTCATTATTATTAGCCCTGATGTGATTATATAGGACTTTATGCCTCCTTTTATCTCAACATTTTAATTATGGTATTTGTTGGCATGCAACGATAGGGTAAATCGGAGCGGTATAACTAGCTTATAAGAAATCATTTGACGTATGAGCCATCATTATATAAAGTTCCTCATTTCACATTTTCAAACTTAAACTTTTTATTGGTCTATTGGAATAATGGTGTTCTTAGCAAAGTTTTTAACTATTGTCTGAACCCACCTCGCAAGCCATGTCCCTTAGAATGATATATTGTTCATTTAGGAGAATGCAATTGTAGCGATTCATAAATTAATTTACAGAAGTGGCCCCTTTCATCTTATTTGAAGAAACAGAAATCATGGTCATGAATTTATTTCAATTGATAAGCTTTCCGTGTGAGAACCAAACTATTTATTTCAATTGAATGGTTATTTCATGAATTCATTGCAAATGTTCATGGGAATATATAAAATAAATACAAGTGACACTAATATCAACCAAATTGATTGACACCGACCAATTAACAACAATTTGGTATGATGGTAAATAAGTTATCATTAGAAAAAAATTAAAGTTCAAATCTTAAGGAGAAATTTTTAAACATAACAATATCAAGAGTTTAGTTTCAGGGAAAAATGTTTCTACTTTTAAATAACACAACTTGTATCCTTTCACTCTCATAAAGAGGTGAGACCTACACCTTTATTTTTTTTGTCCACTCTCTCTCTCCTCCTTTATCTATTTCTTTCTCTCACTTAAAATGACACAACTTTACATTCTTTAAAATGACACACACTTTACCCTTAGTTTTATATTAATACCTATAAAGATCTCTTGGTCAAAAGAAAAAAGAGAGTAACATTTTATGTACATGTATCATTAATGAATTAGTAATAATAGAACTAAAATAAAGGAAATGTCATTTTCTGTTCTTGTATGATCTACTTGATCACATTATATTCTTCTTGTGTTGAATTATAAAATCAAACTAAAAAATTATTTACAAAAAAAAAAAAAAAATCAAACTAAACAAATAAATAAAAAGTATTGTAGGACAAACCGACCATTGATTCAGAACCAAACAATCAAACATATAAGTAGGGGCATAGTTCATGCTTGATGCTGCTAGAAAATGCTCGAGTTTCAATGTGCTAGCTGGTGTTGGATTGTGGAGGGACCCAGATTAGCCATCTAAATTTCAAAGTATTCAACTACACGTTACTTCAACCATCTGAAATTCATTTAACACGAGAAACATTTTACGGTAATAATTAGACTGTGGAAACAATCTTGTTTGACTTTTGTTGAGAAAAAGGCTTGCTTGCCCAGATTTTCCTTCAGCACCACGTCTTGTGGATCTTATTTTCATTGTCATGAATAGAATAACTTTGAATAAGTGTTCTCATGAACACAATTTTAAAATATTTATTTAAATTCTTATGTTTTAGGCAAAATTCTTTCGACGAATTAAAAATTTAATACATATGCAGTATGATAATCTTAATTCAAAGTAATACAAGCCTTTTATTTGTCCTTTAACTCATCCTCATTCTTATTATGATAAATCTTGGACCTCCTTTATATCAAAAAATAAAAATTAGGTACCCGTACTAAAGAGTATTCATTCGGCCCACAACTACTTTTTTTTTTGATAGACGGCCCACATCTACTTCTAAAAAATGATTCGCTAACAAGAATCAACTAATATAATCACTAATCATCAATAAAATTTTACTCTGATTTATAGGAGTTAATTATGTCGAATTCAAAGATTTTCTTACTAACCGAAAATAGTTGATTCAAATGATACATGCTTGGTTCCGAGCTAATCTTATCATAATACAGTGTTCCCGACTTATAAAGAAAAAAAATAATCTTCTTACTAGTCATTTTTTATATCAACCGTAAAATAAGGGAAACGGAGCGGTTAAGGTGAACTATGGCCTCTCAAGCTAATATGAATTTTAAGAGTTCGCTTTTTCTGCAGATAAGTTATCTGCGGTAAGTCCAATACAACGTCATTTTGGAGCGGAAATCATAATATTTTTGTAATTTTAATTTATTTCAGGATTATAATAGTCTTTATATTTATAATTTTTTAAAATTTTAATACCAAAACAACGTCATTTCGAGAATAAATGCAGATAACTTATCTGCAGTAACTGTAGAAACATTTTTCCCAAACTTTAATCCTAAATGAAAGATAAAGTAACATAAGTTTCTCTCCTCAAGCTCAGATTCAGCGGTTCAGCTTTCGTATATGAAAAAAGTTTGAAAAATTCTTCAAATCTATTGATCCATTATTGTGTTACCTTACTTAAAATAATGTGAATTTTCCTTCTTTCGTCCTTCTTACGAAATTTTCTAACCCTTCCATATCATTTTTAAATCTAGTTCTCTTTTTACATACTAATAATTATAGCGACGATTGACAATGGTTCACTTTTTCATTCATTCCACTTCAGAACTGAACATTCTGCTACATTGTTCCCAAACACACCTTTGGAGTCGAACCCCAATTCTTGGGCTTTTTATCACAAACAACCTTTTTTTCCCCCATTCTTTTATCTCAACATCTTTGGGCCTAGCTAAGCCCAATTCAAAATAATCAAATATCAATCCTTACGGGCCGGGCCATGCTTATTTTTTTTAAAAAAAATTTGAAATAAAACAAAACGACGCCGCACATCACAAAACAAGGTTTTCACAAATCCCTTCCTCCAAAAACCCTCGGCGTTTGTTCTCACCACCAAGGAAAACGACAATCGTCAGACTCGCAGCCTGTTATCGCCGGTGCCGTCGCTTGGATTCCGACTGAAAACAGGTAATTTTTTCTATTTCTTGTTTTGTACTTTTGTTGGCTTGAAAAATAACCGTCGCCTGAAAACAGTTAAGTTTGTTTTTATTTTATTTTATCTTTTTTTGTATAGAGAGTGATATGGTTTTCTGTGAATACTTGCCAATTGCATTGAAAAAGCCTTGCTCTATATTACTCATTCGCAATCTATGATTTTTGCTGTGTTGTATGTGTGTATGTTTTGCTATGATTCTCAAATTCTTCAATATGATATAGTTTAATGGATTCTGAGGCTGAAGACACAAAATCCCAGTTAGAACCACTACCCAAGAAGAACAAGAACAAGAAGAACAAGAAGAAAAAGGATTCTCCACCTGAACCGGTTCCGGTTCCGGTTCAGGTTCGGGCCAAGGTCCAAGTGGTCCATGAGCACCCGCATAAAACACCTCCTATTGTTGGCTATTTTCCTTCTGGCTTTGATCCGGTCAACTCTTCTGCCAATGGTTCCGATTCGACCGGTTTTCAAGTTTATCGGAACAGGAACATGACCAAAAGGTTGCAGCTTGTGGTCAGCCCTGCTGGGTCTCCTGTGGAATTCGTCGGAACGAGTTATTCTGGCGAGGCTGGGGCTGCACACCGCGCCATGTATGCGCTTGGAGTTTTCGACAAGGAAGCTCAGACCTTGAAGGTTGTACCAATTGCTGCTAATAAGGTAAACTGTTAAGAAGAAAGGAAAAATTGACCCTGCTCTTTTTGATGTGGGGTGTCTGTCATGCTGATTAGTGGGTGTTGTTCAGATATTCAGGTTGGAACCAAAAGTTAAAGCCTTGGAAGTTGCTGACAAGGAGCCTGTGAACTCGACAATGGAAGAGCTTACTCCGCAGCTGAAGGCAGTGAAAGCGAGACAGACTACTGCTTTGTGGGGAACTAAGAAGGAAATAGAGAAAGTATATTCTTACTCATGTTTGAACCGTTTGCTAAGCTGTGTTAACTACAACAAAAAATCCTGAGTTCAGTATGAATAGTTGATATTAATGTGTGCCTGTGTAGTTTTATTGGAATATAAGAGAAAACACATGTTTGCAATGCTGATACACTAATATTGTGATTGTGGTAGTACGTCTGAAAGGGGACAATGCGTGGTTGGTAGCTCATTAACATAGAAACAACTGTTAATTTTTTAGCCCAATTGCTTTTGGTGTGCTTGGAAGGAAGGTGCAAAATAGGGAGGGGAGCGAATGTGTAGTAGGATGGAAAGGTTTTTTGATTTTAAATTATTGTTGCTTTTTTGGTAGAGGGTGAAAACAAAATGGTTTAAAAACACTTCAAAATCAATTGCATCTGATGAATGTTGATTTTAAAATTTCTCCCTACCCTCTTCTTTGTAGGCTCTCTGGTGAATGTTTGGGTTGTGTGTTTGGGTGTGTGAAAGAGGGCCATGCAAGGCCTTTTTAAGAAGCCTTTAACCGGGGTTCCTTCCTTGAGTTGGGTTTATTGCCATGATTTCCTCCGTTTACCTGTTATGCTATTAGGCAGCCATGTGTGTGGAGCATGCAGTGTGCTGCTCCTTATCATGGCAAATTATCGTGCCTCTCCATTGGGTTTTGCATAGATGCTAGTTCTTGGCCAATCCAATCCATGCAAAGCCCACTTCACGATTGTTTTAATTATTTCCTGTCTGGAGAACATTTTTTGTTAAATCATTTAAGATGCATTTCTATACTTTGTATATATAGCCTAAAAGAATGCCCCTGAATATAGGTGTTAAATTGTTAATGCGCCCATTTTATAGTTTCTCCGTTATTTTGTTATTATAAAAAATTTATTAGACATAACCTAATTTTAACCAATTCTTTGAGTTACTCCTCACCTTTTTTATAATCTTAATTAATTTTATTTTGTTAAGATTGTATTTATTGGTGATGTATTTAAGTGATTGGGTCTTCCAATAATCATCATTCAACTTGGTTCAGGTGATTTTTATCGGAAACATTTTAAACTAATCTTGGAATTTGTATCACTCTGCAGGCTAAAAAGAAGCTGGCTCTCAAACAAGATGATGATCCTGATGCTCAAAAGAATCTGGATGTGAAAATGAAAAATGTTGTTGTAAACAAAAAGGCTCTTGAAAGTACAGAAGCTCTTGTTTCTCGCAATATACCACCATATGATACTTCTGCTACTACACCTCAAGAGGCATATATACTGGACCAAATCATCCTTAAAGGTGAATGGGATTACCTTGAAGACATTTATAATATTTTGCACGGAGAAGAAGCCGACTTCAAGGCTTACCCAACTTTTGTTTGCAACAGGATAGAGAGATTAAAGAAGATTAAGGTAAAAATACAAACTTCGCTTTTTGCTTAAAAGTATAAGTTTATAGTTCTTAATTTTTTGTCATTTGGAGCTGTTTGAATTGGAAAAAATAATTTTGCTGTACTAGTGATACTCTATTCTTGCTTATATTATGGCAGGATAAGAAATGTCTAGACTTTTGCTATATCAAACATTTTAGAATTCTTACTTAGGGGATGCTGTAATCAGTTTTCGGTGAACCTTTGTTGAAGGTGCCCAATTAGTCAATATGATTACCCCATTGCTAGTGGTAGATGCTGGACCTGAACTTATTTAGACTAATTTCAGTACTAAATCCATCTTTTCTAATATTCTGGAAGTTTTATGACTTATGTTTTTCCCAATTAAAATAATATATCCATTATCTTTGTTTACAGGAAGAGTCAGAAAAGAAGAAGCTTTCTTGCATATTCTCATACATCAATCATCTTATAAAGTTCAAAGATCAGCATTCCATGGATGGTGTATCCTCTGCAAAGGGCCATAAAATCCCCAACATTCTGCGTCATAAATTTTCATCAATGTTTCCTGCTTCTGAATCAAAAAGGCTGCCTGCTGAAAAGATTAATCTTCTCATTTGTTATGTCTTGGTGCTGACTCTTTTCTCAGATGAATTTCGAACTGACTACAGGGATATAGCAAAGGATCTGAGGATGAGTGTAATACCCGTGAGACAACTCTATGAGCATTTGGGTTGCAAATTTGCACGCCAAAACAACATGTCTTATGCCACCCTTCCTGTTCCTCTTAAATTTCCTGATTCGAGGACGAGGAAGCGAAAAAGATAGATGGATCATTTTTGAGTCTGTTTTTTTGTCATTGAATGTTGCAAATCAAGTTGTCTGCCTGTCTCTTTGGTGCAGTGATGTCAAAAATTGCTATCCAACCCCACTAATGGTAGGATATTTAAGATATTTTTTTTTATCTGCACAATTTGAGCCATGTTTGTTGTTTTACTAATCATGGAAGTTACTCTGAAATTAGCATCACATAAATTGATAGAGATACCCAAATTATTTTGAGAAAAGAAGGTAGAGTTATATCATTTTTAGTTACTCACAGGTGATGAACAAGCTGTTAAGAATACTTGCTGATTTAAGAGGGGGTGGAAAATTCAAACTTTATATAATATAACAAACAAAAAACTGTTTGGATCCTAAATGTTCTCCTCCTTTCACCCAATTTTGAGATAGTGAACTCACAAGAAGCTATTATCTCATTAGTTAAATGGAAACCAATTCTAATTCCTGAACGTTAGATGCATAATCTTCTTCTGTGTCTGCCACTTAAACATGTAATATGCAGTTTAGTTTCCAGTTCCTCGCCACTCGCAGTGGACGTTAGTCTCTGGATTTTACTTTTACACGACAATAGTTGCTGACCGAAATAACCACATAGCCATTTGCAGCCTACAATGGATATCGAACTTCAAATGAGAAAGCACGACGAAATTTCCTTCAGCGAGCGCTATTGTTTCCTTGATTTTATGTTATGTTCATAATGAATATCATAGTCTGATAAATTTGAAGTTGCAGTTCTTTGTTGAGGCAGCGAGAGTGCATTCACTCTGATTTTATCACTAATTCTCACGCCTGCACTAGGCTTTTTATTTTTATTTATTTATTTATTTTTGAGGGGGTGAAATTTTGATTTTGATTTGATAGGCACTCAACACTTTTACAAGTGGAGAATGACGCCAAACGATGGAAACTAATAAGTGATAATAAAGTAATTAACTTACTGTTTCCACTTTCTTGTGATTCTTTTAAGGGTTTTATAATTCTCATGTTGAATGAGAATTGAAATCTTATGTTGTAGAAATAAAAAGTATGTGGGACTCATGTGTTAGAAAAAATTATATGTAGGACCTATGTAAGCACGGAAATCGAAGGGTGTGTAGGAAAACTTGAATTCTCATGTTGAATGAGAATTATAAAATCCTTCTTTTAATTATAATAATGAAATTCAGAGCCCAATCTCCAAGCATAGACCAAATTAAAAGGGTTATATTTGTAGTAGGGAGTTGGTTATGGCTCAGTGAATCGTACCGTTAGGTAAGAAGAATTCATAAAATTCAATAGATCATTGAATAATTACCAAAACCGTGGTAAAAGAGGACAAAGGGTGCGATTAGATAATGTGATCATGTACCCTTAACTGGCACCAAAAGGTCTAGTTCCTTTGTCACATTTGACAACCACCTTTGTCCCCATTTATAACAAATGAATTAGTGCATGTCATTTTCAACAAGTTCATCAAGGATTGGAAGTCCTATCGCACATGGGTAGATACTAGAAAGTGTGAGAAAAAGGGTCTACAAACGTATCAATCAAAAACAGTGATGGCTCATTGCAGTTTCTAGTCTTGTATTCGTATTTGTTAATCATAGTACTTTGAATTTTTATCACCCGTAATAGTTTTCTTTACTAGACAGCTATTATAAGCCGACAATGTAGAAAATAGAAAGATTTCTTTTTCTCCCTCTTTTATTTCCTTACCTCTCTTTTTGAACATATATTAAAGGAATGATTGTCACCGACATAGTTATGAACTTTTGATGATCATAATCTAAATTTGATTGCGCAGAAAAAGATATGGCTTTCGGTTATACATGCATTGGTTCATTTAGTACTTAAATATGGTTGAATTAGGATGTTGAATGTTGAGTCTGATGTAACATAAAGCATGTTAGATTAGATATTACCACCACCAAATATGTGCATCAACATAAAGCATGCTAGATTAGATATTACCACGAACCCTGGATATTCATAGATGTGTTAAAAACTTAATAAGAAAAACTTTATTACGCTGAATTAGATATCACTGTGTTTATAAAAAAAATAAAATATTTTATATTCGTTCTAGAACTTGTTTTTGTTATAAAGTAGTACATTAATTAACTTACTAAATTAAGACACTTTTTTTTGTTGTTGTTGTTGTACATAGACACTATTTTTCTTATGGCAAACTATATTAATACTACAAACAAAATAATCATTCATTACTGCTAGATATACATTAGATGACGATGAAACTCTAAGCGACTTCATTTAGTATTTGATAAAGAAGAAAGAAAAATTGAAATAGGGACAATGTTTTCCTCCTTACTAATTAGGTCAAGCATGACTTAATTTACAAATAGGCAGGTCTAGCATGTGTTTTTACCGATTTATACCATTTCAATGCTTGGTTCTTCATCCAAGATTATTCTCTGATTGATTCAGTGGATTTTTTTTTTAAGAAATACAAGCAAAATCAGGTCAAATGTGACCCGTGATGCAGAAAATGGGTTTGCACCAACCTAAATTGTGAGCTAAAGTCCCTTTTAAAATTTATAGCCATTACTAAGTTTTTAGGGCTTGAATTCATTTCCAAACTTGTTGAGGGCTACTTTATATAATGTTATTTAGGTTTTTTTTTTACTGTCAATGTAGATGACTTATCTGCATTGAGCCCAAAACAACATCATTTTGAAGCGAAAATCAAGATATTTTTGTAATTATAATTTATTTCAGGGTTATAATAATCTTTTTCATTATAATTTTTTAATTTTTCAATACAAAACGACGTCGTTTTGGGAGCGAATGTAGATAACTGCAGAAACATTAAAATCATGTTATTTTGAAGAAAGTAACCTAAATATTGTTTAAAACAGAATTACGATTTTTTTTTTTTGCCTCTATAGCTGCTGACAATAAAAGCTTTAATTTTTCTGTAAATTTCAGAGGGCAAATCGTTCCAATATATATAGAAATATCTAAAGGAAGAAAACTCATATTAGTTCATCAAACCTAACTTTGAAATAAAAATGAATATATAATTACACAATGCGACATCTACATTCTTAATTTTACATATACATTTGTCATTTCATATAACACGTGTATACATTGCCAAGTTATAAGATATTTAAGTAAATTTTCGCTTATCCAAAGTTATGATAACACAAACAAATTAGAGTTCAAAGGATAGAATTAGACAGTAACAATACGTTGTATTGATTTATTTACTAAGTTTCAAAAAACTAAAATTATGGTGTATACCAAAACAATTAATGACTTATATTACTATCACAAATCTGATTTATCAAATTAAAATCAAAAGGGGCCTATAATTTTATTGTTGGAATGATCCAGTTTAGTATTCCATTAATATCAGACAACACGTCGGGGTATAAATAAGTGTGAAGACAAGGGTGGTGGGGTTGGCCTACATGTGCAGAAGAAATCATCCATTATCCATAAGCACATTTCCATCTTCCAAAATAAACAAGGGAAATGGGGTAAAGTGGTAAACAAAACAAGAAACTTCTGTTTGTTTGATCCAATAATTAGAGCATTCTCTCTCTGAGTCTCTCTATCTCAGTTCCCTACCTGTCCACTAAAATAAGATGTGCGTATATATCTATGTATATATTGTGGGACCCTCCATACTAATTAAGCTGCATTTGATACTGAAGATGACTTTGTAGTAACGCCTTCTTTGTTATACTAAAGGGCATTGTCATGCGATTGTTCATTCAAAATGTGTATGTTTTGTGCAAATACTTTCCTTTTCATTTAATTAATTTATGACTTTTGAAGGGTAACTTACTATCTTAAAAAAAGTTAAATTAAACATTTTTTTTTAGTGAAATATATTTAGAAGACATAAACAATTTATGCTGATATAAATGTTATACCAAATATATATATATATATATATATATATATATATATATATATATATATATATATATATATATATATAGAAACATTTCTCAACCAGCTTGAGATAAGTTTATCTCCGGTCACCTAAAACTACGTCGTTTTATTTATTTATTTCTTTATATTCATTGATTCATCTTTGGATGATTATTATGATTCTCTTTTTCTCTCTCTTCCTTTATCACCATTGATCCATCTTTGTACAGTTATGATTTAGTAGCCAGAGATAAAATTATATCAAGCAACTTGAGAAACGATAAGCCCATATATATATATATATATATATATATATATATATATATATATAGGAAAAAACTATTTTCATGCTGCATGAGATAAGTTTTTTCTCCTACACACCATTCGATAACTGTGCCACTTTTTCTTTTCTTTTCTTTTCTTTTTTCAGGTGATAGAGTCTACAAGTTTATCTATATGACGTGAGATAACTTATCTCCTTTAACATGAGATTAATAAAATCCATATATATTTTGGAGATATTTCGATCTGTTTAAAGTTTTGCGACTAATCCAATTCAGGGCGAGTCATGAGATTAAGATTTTAAACTCTTTCCAAAACGATATTAGGAGGATAGAATACATGTTTTTATCCTTACCTGCTCAATCTCCTGCGTCAATTGAGCTACCATCATTTAGTATAACAAATTTATTTTAACTACTACTTTAACATATATATTTTGTGAAGTGAATACGAATGAATCAGCTGAGTTAAAATAATTTCTTTTGGCTATCAAAAAATAAAAAAAATAATTTCTTTTGTCTTTTTGAAGTTTTATTTCAAATTTTAACTAAAATTTATTAAAAAAGAAGTAGAATGTGCATAACTGCATGCCACGTCCTTATTCTGAAATATTTCACCAAGTTAATTGTCGATATTTAGCATTCTTTTTTTACGCAATAAATGAAGGTGTCATAATATCAGATTATCAGTTATAAATGTCTGTGATATAATTTAATTTATTTTAAACTATATAATCTTATCATTGTCTTGTTATGTAATTCTTAATGATTAGTAATAATATATATTAAAAAGTCAAGTTGCAATCCAAACAAAAAAGCAGCTATTGTTAAACGTATTAAAATAAAATAAAAATATAACATATATCTAAATCTAAATAAGAAACAAAAAAATTCAACTATTCAAATTATATTAAAAATTGTGAAAATAAAATAGAATAAAAGGTTGACACCGAAAGGGTGCCTCCTCTGATTACGGATACGCGTAAACACCACCAAACTCTAAGGGCAGCGTCGTCTTTTCGCTTCAAACGTCCGACATCTTGCGCGCGAATAACATGAATGTCCCTTTTGTCACTTTTATATTAATTCTCAATTAAACCCAAACCCAAAACTTTATTAAATTGCCAAAACCGATTGAAGCTTCAAATTCAATTAACACATATCACATACTTTCGGCTAAAATCTGTTTGCATAAAATGCCTCTGTATTTTCTCTTCAGGCAATAGCCCGTAAAAATATTAAAATGGGCAGCATTCTAACAATTTTTTTTTAGAGTTATTAGATAAATATAAATAAATAATTTTATATTATTTTTTTAACACACTGAAAAATAAATAAATTAAACAATATTTATCTAGAAAAAAATGTTTCTTTTTTTTTTTTTTTTTTGCAGAATTTTAATTCTGTCACACTTACATAAAAGTTAATGAATTTCATGAATCTTTTCCTTATCTTCTCTTTATAATGAGACCTATTTATTTTTATATTAGTGTAATAGAAAAAAAATTTCTACAGTAAAAATAGAAACATAAAACCCATATATTTAACACTAAAATAAAATATGAGACAATTATATTATCTACTTATTTAATCTTCTTATCCCTGTTACCTTTTTGTTATTGTTAAATTAAATTTAAATCAATGGTTACCTATGAAGCACTAATACTTCAAAAATTCTGACGTGTCGTGTCCGACATTTTCCGACACTCCAATACTCATTATAAAGACTCAAAAAAAGTTCAAAGTTTACGTTGCATTGCATTTTGAGTTCTAACTATTAGATTCGTTAGATTACAATTATGATTTTATTGAGCTTAATATAAATATTTGAGATATTTTATGTTTCTTTGCAAAATTGATAGGTATTATAAGTTTAACTTTATTTTTTTATTAAATTACTAAATACTAAATATAATATACACTACATAAATTAAAAATACTATATACTATCAAAAAGTGTCCTAACGTGTCAAAATTTAATATTTTTCAGAATTAACGTGTCGGAGTGTCGTGTCATATCCCGTGTCCCGTGTCGGTGTCGGTGCAACATAGACGGTCACAAATATAATAGTTATTTTATTTTATTTTCTCTCCTTTGTTTTTTTCACTAAATATATATATATATATTTTTTGAGCTGTTAATTTTTTTTTAGTATACCGATCTTAATTATTTCTTTGAGAAAAATCAGTTTTCCTTTTGCCTCTTTTTAAAGATATATTTGACGGTTTTATTTTTTTCATATTGTATGATAGAATTATTTCTTGTAAAAATAATAATAATTATGTATTATGAGTAATATAAAATTATAATTAATTATAATTTTTTTTTCTTTCCACTACATCAGTCAATAATATTTGAGGAAAGATATATATATATTTTTTTTTAGCATAAAAGAATGATTTCCGTTATTATATATCATGAAATCCCTTTCCATTTATAGTATGAGTCCCTGGTGCTGCGCATCACTGGCTTCACTCTCACTCACTCACTCACTACGAAAATCAACGATGACCGTTAGATCTCCGATGAGCTCAATGGCGTGTTTGTGAATCAACCTGGGTGATCATAGCATTACCTTTGATACAATACAATCTTCTCTTTTTCTTGTAGCCGACGATTCTTTGCTTTCACTACTCTACTTATCTCCTTTACTCTTCTTCTTCTTCTTCTTCTTCTTAAGCTTGCAATGAGTGTTTGAGTTGAGCTTATTTTTCAGCTTCACCTCCACGCGCTTCTCTGGACTACGCGCGACTCTGATCCGAGTCACTCACTCTGGTATCGTAACTAACTTTTATTGCTTCACCTCAGTTTTTTCCAAAATAAGAATTAACAAACCAACAACCATCATTATTATTATTATTTGGCTTTTTTATTTTAATTATGTTGGAATTGAAGTACCAAATTGTGTGACTAGGTGGCACTCCATTGTGTGAGAAATGAGGTTGTTGGAGTTTGGGTGTGTATTTATAATCCTATTTGAAATTGTGTTATATGGAAAGGCTGAGATTTACATAGCAACCGTTGAAGGTGACCCTATCATAAGTTACACTGGCGGCATCGATGGGTTTGAAGCCACTGCAGTGGAATCTGGTGAAAAGATTGATACCACAAGGTATATTATGCTATTTTCGTATTAAATTTTTAATTATTTAATACCTCTTAACAAGCATAAGAATAGTAGAGTTGAAATCAACTCCTAAGAGGTTTACGTTTCAGTTTAATCAGTGATCTCGAGTTTGAGTCCCTTGCAACTCAGCTGTGTTAAAACTTGATAGGAAGAGTTTTATCATTCATGTGCTACGGTTGAATTTGTCAACAAATATGAAATGGTTCCTTACTGTTGAGATATTCAAGTGTGATGAGTCCCACATTGGTTGGTAATGAGCTAAGTGAAGAGTATACAAGTGAAAGGACCCATGAACCCAATGCCTTAAGGTTTTGGGTTGAGACATGGTGTCGGATCCACTTGCTACGGTTGGTGTAGCCTTAGCTCATTGGTGGTGGCCCCCCCGCCACGGGCTTTCCCTGGACCCGCTTGACATTGGAGTTTGAGGGAACGAATTTTCCAACACTTACTTCCTTACTTTATCTAAATTTCATATTTTTCGATTTTATTTTTGCGGAATTATTGAGAAACCTAGTAGTAGTCAAAAGTTTGTATCCATTTTTCATGATATTATATGTATGGATACACACTTGAGATCACTAAATATTCAGAAGTTTCTCTATTTAATTAATTTTCTTCTTGTTGTTTCTGGATATCTTGTTTGTGTGTACACCTTCTCTTTGTTTCTTTGTCTATAGTGAGTTACAGATTTTGAAAAAGTGGAGATATTCCTATAGGGTAACTTCTGAATACGGCTAGTGCTATTTGTTATCTCTTGGTTTTTTAAGGAACAGAATGCTATGATCACCGCCTCAATCTGTTGAGTAAAAAAGCGATTTGTTGACATAAATTAATGCTAAGTGGGTGTTGAACTAAGAGCTGGATATTGATTTGTGGGGTTGCTCAATTTTCATACTATGTTAAATTTGTTCCAGTGAATTGGTCACTTCTTATGCTCGCCACCTTGAAAAAAGACATGATATGCTTCTGGGGATGCTGTTTGACCCTGGGACATACAAGAAACTCTATAGCTATAGACATCTTATAAATGGGTTTGCTGTTCATCTTTCTCCAGAACAGGTGACGTCTTGTGTTGTCTTTTTAGTGTTATGTGGTTAACAATTACAAAAAATCCATTTCTAATTTCCTTATGCTATCATCTTATATTAGTAGGCAGAAATTCTTAGACATGGTCCTGGTGTGAAATCTGTTGAGAGGGATTGGAAAGTGAGGAGACTTACAACTCATACCCCAGAATTTTTGGGGCTTCCAAATGGAGTGTGGCCAACAGGAGGTGGTTATGATCATGCTGGAGAGGACATTGTCATTGGATTTGTGGACTCTGGGATTTACCCTCACCATCCAAGCTTTGGAACTCATAATACTGAACCATATGGGCCAGTTCCAAAATATAGAGGAAAATGTGAAGTTGATCCAGACACTAAAAGAAGTTTCTGTAATGGGAAGATTATTGGAGCACAACATTTTGCTCAAGCTGCAACAGCTGCTGGGGCATTTAACCCTTCAATTGATTTTGCCTCTCCTCTAGATGGCGATGGTCATGGAAGGTTAGGCCCTTTTTCCTTCTTTAACATTTCACTTTAAAGCCTTCAGATGTTCTCTTTATAATGGTTCATGTGCTTGACATTACAGAAAACTCTGTCTATATTTATCTATCTATTTTTCGTTGTACTTAAAGTAATAACTGGTAGTCAACACGGTTTATTGATAAGTGTCGCCAGTAATGGATATCCCGTCACAAATTATAGTGAGATTTCTGAAGCATTGACACTTAGAGGCTAAAAAGTGAGATGTATCCTCATGATTCATGATTGATGATAAGGAGCTAAACGTTGAAAATTTGAAATGTACACGATCCTTCACTTAGCCTGTTAGCAAAAACCATACTTATCAAATGCGGATTGCGGCCTGATGCGGCCAACCCTCAAAACCGTTATGTCGTTATTGCGGGTTGCGGTTGAAAAAATAGCGAAAAAAATATATTTATTAAAAAATCAAATTATATGTATATATATCTGTGTGTAACATAATAAATTATTAAAAAAATAATAACACCTAAAAAAATACAAATAATAAAAAAAATATAAAGATAAATAGTAAAAAAAATTTAAAAATAAAGGCAGAGTTGACATGTCATCTCTTAGTAATAAGTGTACAAACTTTAGCTATAGTTGTACTACTTTAGTTGTAACTATACTTTACTGATTTATCATATTTATCTTAGTTACTTTAGTGTTTTACTTTAGTTACCTTTTAATGATGCATTCTTTTTTTTTTTTGTGGGATATAAAAATAGTTTTACCCACTTTTACTATAACCAGGTTACTTGGTTACAGTGACTTGTGAATTCACTTTTCTGACAAATATATTTTTCTCTTTTTTTGAATAAAGATAGATCAGAATCTCTTTCTCTCTCTCTCTCTTTCTCTTTCATCCGTTCTCTCTCCAAGAGTCTCTCTTTTTCTCGCTCTTACTATTTCTCTCACTTTTTCTCCGTCATATGCTCTCTCTCTCTCACTCTTTCTCTCACTCAAAGCTTTGCTTCTTCGTTCATGGCTTCCACATTGAACCTCAATACTATAAGAGAGAAATAGAGAAGGGAAGAAACGAGCTCGATAAAGAAAGCAAGAGAGGCAGAAGAGAGACGCACAACAGAAAGGCAGAAAGAGAGAATGAATTAGGGTTAAAACCATAAAAGGACATTGTTCAAGCGAGATTTGGCCGCAAATGCGGCCGCAACAACCGCTATTGCGATCTGGTGCGGCGCTGCGAGGATGGTTGCTGCGAAGCTCCTCAAAGCGCAACTGGCGTGGCTTGCGGCACAATAGCGCCGCTATTGACTACTATGTCAAAAACTTTCCAATTCCGGTTCTTCATACTATGTCTTATAAACATCTGAGATGGATAGTATCAGTAGTCGTGGTTGAAGCCATATATTCTAATTTGATAACAGTTGTTCTTTTAACAATACCCTCGTTCTTCTTGCCTTATCATCTGGCAGTCATACAGCCTCTATTGCAGCTGGAAGAAATGGTATTCCTGTGAAGATGTATGGACATGAATTTGGGAAAGCAAGTGGTATGGCTCCCCGTGCAAGGTGAGGAACATTGTTTGATTAAAACTGGGAAGTGGGAACTGTGTTTACACTTCTTTCTGTTGCGTTAAACACTTGATGTATTTATCTTCAGGATTGCTGTGTACAAAGCACTTTATAGACTGTTTGGAGGATTTGTTGCAGACGTAGTTGCTGCACTTGATCAGGTATACAAGTATACTATATGTTTATGATGGTGTTTTTACTCAAAATGTTGTATTGTCCAACAGCATATTTATGTTAAAGATTTTTTGTTGGTTCATTAACTCTGGATGAAAAACTCAAATTTTTTACTTCCTCCTCCACTGATCTCTAGACAGTTCACTGCATTGCTTATGAAAAGTTTCTTACCCAGCATTTTTCTTTTTTGTTTTATGTTATTTTTATCTTCAAAGGAGAAAAAAAGAAGCTCTAACTCAACATTCACGTTCAACATAAAATTGAACCATCAGTTTCACGGCCTTATAATTTTTTTAACAGTTAGTGTTTTATCTCAAGATGTCTAATTATTCAAATTTGAGACTCAACAGGCTGTACATGATGGGGTGGATATACTCAGCCTTTCAGTCGGACCAAACAGTCCTCAAGCAACCACCAAAACCACGTATTTGAACCCTTTTGATGCTACACTTCTTGGAGCTGTGAAAGCTGGTGTGTTTGTTGCACAGGCTGCTGGAAATGCTGGTCCTTTTCCTAAAACATTAGTTTCGTATAGTCCGTGGATAACATCTGTAGCAGCTGCAATTGATGATCGTACATATAAAAACCATCTGATCCTTGGAAATGGAAGAATCTTAGCTGGAGTTGGATTGTCACGTGAGTTTTCCAACTTCCTACTATGTTTCTTAGGATGTATTTTTCTTAATAATGGAATGATACTAGGAAATACAATGCTGATGATTTTGGTGGAAACTTTAATGATAGTTGGTAAAAATCTGAAAAAAAAAAACAAAAAGCTGTCCACGTAAAAGGTAAAGAAAGAAAAGTACAAAAACACAAGAAAGAAAAGTATAAAAACACGTTGTTCTGGAAGAAAAGTCTCTTTTCATTTTACTGCTTTACTTAATTGATTATTTCAACAATTTTCTCTTGTGTGCCACAAGAAGAAAATAAGAAACCGAAAGAGAAAACTTTCATAAGCATGACCTTGGGACTAAGCCCTGGCATAATCTTCTGTTCTTTTCTTTACAATAAATGGCAAAAAGCATTACTTGCTTTTAATCGTATCATTTCCTCATTGAAGTTTGGTTTATTAAACAGAGATCAGTATTGTTGAATTATATTCACCTTTGGTGGTCTAAAGTATTTTAGTGAAATAAGTATCGTTACATCTGTATAGTTGTGTGCAGTTCCGTTGCATGGTTTGGAAAATATTTTTTTTTAAGCTGAAGATAAATTTGTACATTGTGAGAGACAAAGATAGATTGTATTGGCGAAACTAATATCAGACTTTGTTTCACAATGTACCTTTTTGTGGCTGAAGATCAACATGTACTCTGATGTTGGTTTTCTGTACATGGATGACAATGCTTCTTGAGGAAACAGAAATATACCGTTCATTCTTTGCTCAAATCATTGATTGTCCAACAATATTATGCACTGGATTGTGTACAAAGTTCTGTAAAATGTTGGCGGGCCATGAGTGCATTACATGATATAAAGGCTTTTGTTTTTTATTCCTTGTGGTTTATTGTCTTTAAAAGCAACTAAGAATGGGTGCTGGTGGTGCCTGCAGCCAGCAGAAAACGCCCAAGATCATTCTCTTAAACTTTTTAATTTCCTTTTTGTTCAAATAAAGAATAGTAGAAAGATTTGAAAATCAATAATATTGAAAATATATAACTAATATAGTCATCAGAGCAAAGCCACTCCTGTTGACCTTTACCAATTAGGTTCGTTTTGTTAAATTGGGGTTCAGCTATGAATGCTATGCTGGTGACGAAGCAAAATCATGAGTTCTTTCTAGAGAATTATTGTCACCTCAATGTTCTGTATAAATTTCATTCTTATGTGCCAAAGCATATTTATTGTTGTCCACAATTCATTTATGTCTGCTGGATCCCTTATGTACTCAGTCTGTTGCTAATGGATTTGTGCAGCTTCTACACATTTAAACCAAACATACAAATTGGTTGCTGCAAATGATGTGCTGCTAGATTCTTCAGTTATGAAGTACATCCCCACGGATTGCCAGAGACCAGAAGTTTTAAACAAGAAATTGATAGAGGGGAATATTCTTCTATGTGGCTATTCTTACAACTTTGTTGTTGGTACTTCATCAATAAAGAAAGTCTCAGAAACAGCAAACACCCTTGGAGCAGTTGGATTTGTTCTTTGTGTGGAAAATGTTTCTCCTGGAATGAAATTTGATCCAGTCCCTGTTAGCCTTCCTGGGATTCTTATCACAGATGTCAGCAAGTCAAAGGTACTTGACTCATCTTTACTGGTATAAGTAGGTAGAGATGGATAGAATATGATAACTGCTAACTGTTTCCATCTGTTTGCTTATAGCCCTTAACTTACTCCACATCAGCCACTCATCTCGGCCACTCTTTTGATCTCCTTTTTTCTATGTTTTCATTAATGGTTTTTTCTTTTTCTTTTTTTTTGGATACATGAGGAAGGACTAGAACACACACCACCTAATACAACTACCTACGCCCCTCGTGATTAGGCTAACCCTAGTGGCTTGCCCGGTCATTAATGCTTTTTTCTGATCACAAAGTATGTGCTATTTATAATGTCATTTGGATCTTGCAAATCCTTATTTTTCAGGAACTGATAGATTATTATAATATCTCCACACCTAGAGACTGGACTGGAAGGGTGAAGAGCTTCAAAGGTACAGGTAAAATTGGGGACGGTTTGATGCCTATTCTCCATAAATCTGCACCACAGGTGGCATTATTCTCTGCTAGAGGGCCAAATATAAAGGACTTTAGCTTCCAAGAGGCAGATCTTCTCAAACCAGATATATTAGCTCCGGGTTCATTGATTTGGGCTGCTTGGTCTCTAAATGGAACTGATGAACCAAATTATGTTGGTAAGTAACGGTTTTACGAAGTTGTCTCTTTTTAATTGTTGATGTTTGAAAATTTATGCCTCCAACTAAACATTTGAATTTCACCACTTGGCTTAGCTTAGGTGAGTTAGGGAAACAGGTTTTTTAGGTAGCATAAAGGTGTTAGGTTCAGTTTGCCATATACAAAGAAGAAAAAAATGAACCCTCAAAACAGGAAGAAGTGCTTTCCATATAAAACATTAGAGTCATGTTAGAAAGAAACTACTACTTTGAAGGACTGTTGGACTCCAAAGGTACTGGTGGGTCATTGCACAAGAACATTTGTGTTTTTTCTCTCATAACTTGACACTATCAAGTTCTTAAGGAAAAGGAGAGGATTCAAATCCATTATACTTCTTTAAACAGGATTTCTTTTCTATTGAATATGTTAATAATACAAGAAATTCATCAATAACAGTAAAGAGAGAAGATATAAATTATTATAGAATTGGATTTACTTAAGCAATTTTTGGCTTGAGCAGGGGAGGAATTTGCCATGATATCTGGAACTAGCATGGCTGCACCACATATAGCTGGAATTGCTGCTCTTATAAAGCAGCAACATCCACATTGGAGCCCTGCTGCCATTAAGTCAGCCTTGATGACAACAGCAACAACTCTAGACAGAGCAGGCAGTCCCATTCTAGCACAGCAATACTCAGAAACAGAAGCAATGAAGCTGGTCAGAGCCACTCCTTTTGATTATGGGAGTGGACACGTTAATCCAAGAGCTGCCTTGGACCCTGGGCTCATCTTTGATGCAGGTTAATTTACTTCCTCCCTCTAATGTAACTATTTTGTTTGTCTTAGCTAGTTTGCATTCCAAGTCAACTACAATACATGGATTCACTTGTAACAGAAAAAAAAGAAAAAGATAAATTAAACAAAATAGAAAATGAAAATGTAGCCGAAAAATTCATGATCAATTCATCAAAGTAATAAAATAACAGATAGTATATGTCATTAAAAGGGAAAAGCACTATTTTAGGATTTTTGGGCAAACGAATTGTCCAATTAAAGCTGATTAAATAAGTTTTTTCAAACTAATGCAGTCAAACACGTCACTGATACTGACGGGACTAGTCCCGTCAATATAGTGGGATGTCAGCGCCACGTTGGCAGTCCCGTTACCGTAAAATTTCATAAGGCTATAACTTTTGACTCGGGTATCCAAATCAGATGATTTTTTTTTTGATTTCACATAATTTTTCGAAATCTACGCAATGACACCTTATTTGACATATTTTATCACCCACAAACATAATTCGAATTTGTAACAGAAGATGGCACGTGCGACAGCTCATGGTGTTGGTTTGGAAAGAAGGCAGGATCTTCTGGATTTAAATGATCTTGTAATTGTGGAACTATTATTGCAAATTCAAATTATATTTGTAGAAGATAAAATATGTCAAATGAGGTGTAATTGTGTAGATCTCGAAAAGTTATGTGAAATAAAAAAAAATCATCTGATTTAGATACCCGAGTCAAAAGTTATGGTCTTTCGAAGTTTTGTGGTAACGAGACTACCTACAAGGCTCTGACATGGCACGAGTCTCTACGTGCCGCTGAAATGGCATGAGTCTCATCAGTATCATTGACGGGACTAGTCCCGTCAATATTTTGACTGCATTAGTTTGGAAAAACTTATCCAATCAACTTTAACGAAATAATTCTTTTGTTCAAAAGTTCTAAAATGGTGCTTTAGCCGTCATTAAAAGGTACCATAAAACAAAATTAACTTAAAAGTGGTTATTTTATATAATGTAGAGTTAAATTGATTAAAATAGAAACTTTAAGTGATTGTTATTCCTTTAAGGTAAACATTTGTATCGAGAGTTCTGCTTTTGGAATTATCCCTTAATAAAATTAGTTTTTAAATATATCTTTCTGGAGGTGTGGGGGTTCTCTTTCCTATTTTCTGCATTTATTTTTAATTTACTAAAACAAAGTGTTCCTGAAATAAATTATCATTAATACAGGAAGAAAAATCCCAAAAAAAAAAAAAAACTTCTTAATTAGTTTTGCTAATCATTTTGCAGGATACGAGGATTACCTAGGGTTCTTGTGCACAACACCTGGCATTGATGTTCGTGAGATAAAGAACTACACAAACTTGCCATGTAACAATACCATGGTCCACCCATCAAATTTAAACACTCCATCTATTACAATTTCCCATTTGGTAGGAACTCAAGTTGTCACCCGCACTGTCACAAATGTTGCTGAGGAAGAAACCTACGTGATCACAGCCAGAATGCAACCAGCAATTGCCATTGAAGTCAACCCTCCAGCAATGACCCTCAAAGCAGGTGCATCACGTAAGTTTACTGTGACACTTACTGTTCGCTCAGTGACAGGAATTTATAGTTTTGGAGAGGTTTTAATGAAAGGAAGCAGAGGGCACAAGGTAAGAGTACCAGTTCTTGCCAATGGATATCCAAGATAGCTTAGATATTTGGTCAGCAAAGAAAAGTTATGCTTGTAACATTCTTTGTAACTTGTGGGAATAAGGCATGCTGCTAGATTTATTATAAAAATATATATATATGATGTTGAATAGGTGTAAAGGTAAGCAGGAGGTGGTAGGAGGAGAATACTAGTTTATTTTCCTTCAAATGTTTCGAGACCATCTAGCTTGGGAATGTACCCTTCGCTATTCACCCCGGTTGCAACCACTAGATAGTGTGCAATGTAAATCTCATCAACATTTGATGATGTGTCCTTAACAATGAGCCTCCATTTCCCAATGTTGTGATCCAGAGAGGCAGACTAAACATGACGGTTATAGCGGATGCAAATCTTAAAATGGGACACGCAATCATCTAAGTAATGTAAGAACTCAATCCTAGGGACAAAGGTGGGTAAATCAGAAGAGAGACATGAGGAAGGTTACAAAATTCTTTTCCCAAGTGAAGTTTCAAGCAATCATAGATTCTTTTCCTCCAACGAGATGCATGACAATCATCTCTTTCTAAGATCATAGGTTCTTTTCCTCCAAAGAGATGCATGACAATCATCTCTTCCTAAGAACATAGGATCGCTTGAAACTTTTCTTGGAAAAAGAATTTTGTAACCTTCCTCGTATGTCTTTCTCTTCTGATTTACCCACCTTTATCCCCAGGATTGAGTTCTTAGGTTACTTAGATGATCGCGTGTCCCATTTTAAGATTTGCATCCGCTATAACCGTTACGTTTAGTCTTCCTCTCTCGATCACAACATTGGGAAATGGAGGCTCATTGTTAAGGACACATCATCAAATGTTGATGAGATTTACATTGCACACTATCTAGTGGTTGCAACCGGGGTGAATAGCGAAGGGTACATTCCCAAGCTAGATTTATTATAAAAATATAAAGTTTTGCTAATATCATCTACTGATTTGTTGAAATGCTTCTTCTTCCAAAGTTTTTAGTATGTATCTACCCGCTTCACCCAAAATTGCTTATCATTCGTATAGTTGTGGAGAGACAATCTTACAAAAACTATTGGTTAGCTGATTTCAATCAATCTCCTAAATTCAAGTTCGTGTTGTGTGCAATAACATAAACTTAACGGGGAAGAATATTTATCACCACAAAAATTTATCACCCTTACAACCAATTTAATCACCATTGAATTCTCTATCAATTTAACGGTTATAATTTTTTGAAAATTATTGGATCACTTTTAATAATTATAACGGTGATTAATTTATTGAGAATTAATAATTAATTAATAAGAGTGATTCAATAATTTTCAATAAATTATAACCGTTAGATTGACGAAAATCAACGGTAGTTAGATTGGTTGTAAGGATGATAAACTTTTGTAGTGTAAGTATATCCTGCCCAAACTCAATACCTTCCTTTGTATTCTGTTTTTGCAAAAAAGAGTCGGTTCTAACTATATTTTATGTATTTCTCTTCTTTTAAAATGACAGTGCTTTTATTATTGATTAACTATTTAGAGTCTGTTTGATATAGTTTTTTAAGTTAAAAGTTACTTTTAAATTGAAGTTAAGAAAAAAGAGTTTAAAAAATAAATTTAAAATCTGTTTGATGATTATATAAACAATTTTGAGGGTTTTGAATGAGGGAAGATAAAATAATTTATTATTAGAATGAATTTTAGAGTAAATAATAAAATTGCTAAATACAAATTTAGAATAAAGGTGAAACTGGAAAAAAATAGATGAGAACTCTACAAAGTAAATATATATCTTAAGAAAAACTCCTCTTTGGCAGCTTTTAGCTCTTTTTTCTTTTATAACAAAAAACTCTTTTAATAAGAAGAGCTTTTGTAAATGTCTATTTGAGAGGTCTTTTATTTTAGTTTCTCTTCTCTTTATAAGTAGAAGTTAAGCCAAATATATTTTTACAAAAGCTCTTATATAAAAAGGGAAAAACTTTTCTTATGTTACATAAGATACATTTTCTCTCCTACACACCCTTCGATAACTGTGCCACTTTTTACTTTTCTTTTCTTTTATTTTTTCAGGTGGTGGAGCCCACAAATTTATCTTTATGACATGAGATAACTATCTCCTTTAACATGAGATTAATAAAACCCATATAAAAAGAACTTTTATTTATAATGAAGAAAAAAGATGTTAGAGAAGTATAAAACTATTAGTTCTTTACATGGTACAGAGCCTTGGCGTCACATTTTTTATCCTTAGCACCCCTATTTAATTAATAAATAATAAAGTATTGTGAAGTTTCTTAGCATAGGTGGGCCTGTGCATTGTTCACCCTTCAAGCTTAATGAGCTCTCTAGGGAGAGAGCGTGATAGAGAATTATAAAAATCATTAACGTATCATCACCTAACAGTTTAAGTTTTTGGGTTGAATTAGTTCTTTACAAAAGGCAAAGCCAAAAGCTCCTGGAATGAGCTTTTTTTAAGTTGTATCAATTTTTGTTTGTTGAAATGTACAACTTTTTAGCTAAAAAATTTATATAATCATCAAACAACTTTTAACTTTACTTTTAAAGCTTTTTTTAGCTTTAACTTAAAAGTAGCTTTTAACTTAAAAAAAAAGGTGCCAAAAAAAAAGTTGTATAAACTTTTAGCTTAAAAATATACTTGACTAAGTTTCTGTTTATAAGAAGAAGAGAAACTAAAAATAAAAATTCCCAAACATGAGAGTTGACAAAATGGGCCAACCAGCCCTGACCCGCCTTCAACCTGCAAAAAATGGGGCGGGGTGAGTCGGGTTGATCCACCATTGGTGAGTGGGTTGGTAGTGGGTTGAAAATACCAACTAACCCCGTTTTGAAATTCTGACTCAACAAGGCCACAAATTTGGTCTACCAACGAGGTTCTTTCCTCCACAAAATGGCCTCTTGAAGCACCAAAGTGAGTGAAAATGGCCTTCACACTCTCAACCAAAAAGTCAGCAACTCAACCTCACAAAACAGTGGCTACAACTCATAAAGAAGGTTTCTTTCTCCCTCACAAAGCTTTCTCTCAAGTGTTTACAAGATGGAAGAGGTGAAATGAAGAGAAAAATGGTGCCTTGGGTGTTTTACAAGCAAAAGGCTCAAGATTTCAAGAAGGGAGGAAGGTGGCAGCCAAGAAACACATGAAAACTCTACGTAGAAGATGAGAAAAATTGACCTAGGTTCATGTGCAAAGGCTATTTATAGGTCCACTTAATTAATCCACCGGTATTAGTTCTAATAGCTCCGCTAATTATTTTAATCTCAAACTTCATATTCTGGACCTAGCCATTTTTCTAGGAATTATCATATTTTTCTTATATTTTTTGCAGCACTTTGCCGGTAGACGTTTTATACGTACTGGTATTAGTCTGACATCAACGCTCATTATTCTTACTCCAAACTTGATATCCTTGACCTAGATATTTTTCTAGGAATATCTGTATTTTTATTATAATTTTTCGGAATACTTCACCGGTACGCATTTATACGTAAGGATCTCCGACAGAGTGTGTATGCTTCCGGCAACCTCCTTCACGGAGCTTGATCTTGAAAGAGAAAGTATTATTGTCCGAAAAATATTAGGAAATGTTCCCATCAGGTGGGAATCGAAGAATCCCATCGGATGAATGGTATTCTTCAATGGGATTTTTCTTTACAAAAATAAATCCTGGGAATTTGATTTTCCAAAGAAAATTTTTATAGTCCTTACCTATGAAGCACCGACACTTCAAAAATCCTGATGTGTCGTGTCCAACACTTCCTGACACTCCCCGACACTCCAACACGCGTTACAGAAATTCAAAAAAGGTTCAAAGGTTACGTTGCGTTGAGTTTTTAGTTCCAACTATTAGATTTGTTGGATTACGATTACCATTTTATTGAGTTTAATATAAATATTTGGGATATCTTATGTTTCTTTGCAAAATTTATGAATATTATAAGTTTAGATTCATTTTTTTTGTTAAATTATTGAATATTAAATATAATATATACTACATAAATTAAAAATATCATTTAATATCAAAACGTGTTCTAACGTGTCGAAATCTAACTTTTTTTAGAATTAATGTGCCAGAGTGTCGTGTAGTATCGTGTCACGTGTCCTGTGTCAGTATCGGTTGTACATTGGTCCTTACTAAACATAGGTAAATAGGATTTCTAATGTCATTTTCCCAAGAATTTAAATTTACTCATGTACCAAACGCCCATTAAGTTATTATTTTTGGCCGAGTTTGTTGGGTTCCGCAATCCTTTTCTTTCTTTCTTTTTTCTTTAGGTCAAGTGTGGTTGTAATTTATAATTAATTAAATTTCAAGTTTCGGATAATTTTCTTCTCTATTTTACCTCCTTCCTTCTTGGGTTTTCCCCCTACTCTTTGTACTTGAAAAGTGTTTCATGAAAATACGAGACAAGTGAATAATTTATAAGGAAATAATTTCTGAAATTGTGGCAGAAATCATTTGTCTGCCAGATAGAGAAAAAAATAAGTGGGCTCCCCATCATGTTTTTCTCTCTCAACCTTTATGGTTTCTCTCTCTGATTTTCTTTCTATGGCAAATAAATAATTTCTGCCACAATTGTACAAATATTTTTCCATAATTTATTTCGGTTTTAAAATACTCAATTAGTTTTTTACCAATTTATATTATATATTAAATTAGTTTTTTCATTCTCGAACATCACAATTTTTGTATACTCTCATATTTCTTAACTAAATATGTAATTTTGTTGTTGTTTACTACTTTTTTAATATGCTTTTTAAAAAATTAATTATTTTCAATTTTTTTACATTAAAATTTCCTTTTTCTTCTCAAATCTCAAATTCTTATAGTCTCAAAATAATTAATTACCCCCTTTACCTTGCATAAATATTGCATGTTTGTTCATACCTCAACGGGGTTACCCCATTCTCAATGGTGTGCAAAATGGAAATTGTACGGACCTGTTTGGATGAACTTTTTTAGTCAAAAACTATTTTTTTTTTTTTTTTAAGAAAAAAGCATTTCTATTACAAAGTGTGTTTGAATATTTGCTTTAAAAAAAAACATAAGTCACAAAAAAAGTCAAAACATGTTTTTTTTTTTGTAAATTAAAATTTTTAGCTTTTAAAAAAGTAGAAATCAAAAGGCAAATATTTTTTAAAATCTAAATAGCTTTAATTTTTTTAAAAAGTACTTCTAAACTAAGCACAGTATAAAAATCCTTTTTTATTACAAGCTCATCCAAACGAGCCCTTAATAAATATAATAGAACGTAACATTGCTTTGCTCGTTAATTTGGGAGTAAATTATAAATTTCTCCATTCACAAGTTAAATTTTTTTTTTTTTTCTGTAAACTTGATATCTCTAGCTACTTAATGACTATAAGAGTAATTATACTTAAATAGTGTAATTTTTAAGCTATTTTGGGCAATATTGTAGAGTGGCCCCATAATGAAGGCAATTATGAATCAAATGGGTGCTGTGGTGGTCCTATTCCATTGCACTTTTTACAAATTATGTAAAACATGTAAACAGCAACCGGACGATTCTTTATTTCGGTCTATCAATTAATTTCATTCACACCACAAAATTCAAGTTCGTCTTATGTGCAATAACATAAACTTAACGGGGAAGAATATTTATCACCACAAAATTTTATCACCCTTACAACTAATTTAATCACTGTTGAATTTTGTCAATTTAACGGTTATAATTTATTGAAAATTATTGGATCGCTTTTATTATTATAACGGTGATTAATTTATTGGGAATTAATGATTAATTAATAAGAGTGATCCAATAATTTCCAATAAATTATAACAGTTAGATTGACGAAAATCAACAGTAGTTAAGTTGGTTGTAAGGATGGTAAACTTTTGTGATGGTAAATATATCCTGTCCAAACTCAATACCTTCCTTTGTATTCTGTTTTTGCAAAAAAGAGTCGGTTCTAGCTATATTTTATGTATTTCTCTTCTTTTAAAATGACAGTGCTTTTATTAATGATTAACTATTTAGAGTCTCTTTGACATATTTTTTTAAGTTAAAAGTTACTTTTAAATTGAAGTTAAGAAAAAAGAGTTTAAAAAATAAATTTAAAATCTGTTTGATGATTATATAAACAATTTTGAGGGTTTTGAATGAGGGAAGATAAACTAATTTGTTATTAGAATGAATTATTAGAGTAAATAATAAAATTGGTAAATACAAATTTAGAATAAGGGTGAAACTGGAAAAAAAATAGATGAGAACTCTACAAAGTAAATATATATCTTAAAAAAAACTCCTCTTTGGCCGCTTTTAGCTCTTTTTTTTTTATTATAACAAGAAACTCTTTTTATAAGAAGAGCTTTTGTAAATGTGTATTTGAGATTTTTTATTTTATTTTAGCTTCTCTTCTCTTTATAAGTAGAAGTTAGGCCAAACATATTTTTACAAAAGCTCTTATATAAAAAAGAACTTTTTTTTATAATGAAGAAAAAAGATGTTAGAGAAGTATAAAACCATTAATATAGCCTCACCTAATAGCTTAAGCTTTTGAGTTGAATTAGTTCTTTACATGGTACAGAGCCTTGACGTCACATTTTTTATCCTTAGCACCCCTATTTAATTAATAAATAATAAAGTATTGTGAAGTTTCTTAGCATAGGTGGGCCTGTGCATTGTTCACCCTTCAAACTTAATAGGCTCTCTTGTGAGAGAGCGTGATAGAGAATTATAAAAATCATTAATGTACCATCACCTAACAGTTTAAGTTTTTGGGTTGAATTGATTCTTTACAAAAGGCAAAGCCAAAAGCTCCTGGAATGAGCTTTTTTTAAGTTGTATCAATTTTTTGTTGCTGAAATGAATAACTTTTTAGCTAAATTTTTTTTATAATCATCAAACAACTTTTAGCTTTATTTTTAAAGCTTTTTTAGCTTTAACTTAAAAGTAGCTTTTAACTTAAAAAGGTGCCAAAAAAACAAGTTGTATAAACTTTTAGCTTAAAAATATACTTGACTAAACCTCCAAAAAAAAAAAAAAAATACTTGACTAAGTTTCTGTTTATAAGAAGAAGAGAAACTAAAAATAAGAATTCCCAAACATGAGAGTTGACAAAATGGGCCAACCAGCCCTGACCCACCTTCAACCTGCAAAAAATGGGGCGGGGCGGGCCGGGTTGATCCACCATTGGTGAGGCGAGTTGGTGGTTCAACCTATTTGAAAAATAAAATGTTAAAAAATAGACACATATTCCATCCTTTAACTAGAATTTCATAAGCATTATCTAATTTGATTTGTATAAATACTAGTATTTAAATCCAAAACAAGTTGAAGTTTCTTTAATATTTTATATCAATCTTTTTTTCTGTCAAATATCCTTCTCAATAAAATAGTATCATTATGGCCTTAAAAAATGATTTTGTCTCACATAATAGCCATTCACATAGACCAACTAAGTCATAATATAACATTTAATATATATATATTTTTTAAAAAGTGACTAGTGGGTTGATCCGCAGGTTGACTCGCTCCGTTTTTGGGGATTGATCCGTCGAGTTTAACCCATTAAAGGCATTTATATATTACTATTTTATCTGAATTAACAGAATTTCATATTCTTTTACTAAAAATTATATAACAGTAAGAACTGAGTTATTTTAATTAATCAAGTAATACTATATTGTTGTTGAAAAGGTTGTTGATGAATTTTGTCCAACTGGGTATCGATGAATCACCATTCAAGGAGATATTGAATAAAATTTTTAATTATTTATATACTTTAATTTATTAGAAATATGAGTTGTTAGACGTAGACAAATCAATGACTAAAATTTGATGCAAGACTTCTTATTGTTACACTGATGTAAGAATAAATTGCTCGTGCGCGCGTATACACAACTAATCATACGTGAGCTCCTCTTCAGGAGGATTCCTCCTTTTGCTCCTCAGCCTACGAGGTATTAGCATCCGTTTCTAGTTGTTGTTCCTGACTTAACCCAACACCTTACGACATGAGCTGACGATGGCCATGCACCACCTGTGTTCGCATTTCCCAAGGCACACACACATAATGAAACACACACACACACACACACATAATGAAGCACAAATACACACACAATGAAAGTATCAACTACCTAGAGTATGACACAATTTTTAGTAAGGTATTACAATAACATCTATCAATGACTTTCCACATGGATTAAAGAGTTGGCACACAAATTGTAACCTTAAATATATATGGTGGTTTTAGTCCTTAGTGATAAGTGTCAAAGACACTATGTTTTTAATGTCAAATATAGTTCAAATAATAATTAATATGATTAAAAATATAGTGTTAATTAATAAAATCTTAAAGAATATTAAAATACCAACAAATAGATAAGATTCTAATCCTTTTTATTGTTTCAGGTTGTTTCATACTAGAAAGAAGAAATTACTAACCTGATAAGGAAAAGGAAGTTGGCACCGGCTAAATATAAAGGAAAAACAAGAAAATAAATAATTAATAAAAATTAATTCTTCCTCGCTCTGCTTTTCGATTCAGCGAGAAGCTCGCTCTGTTGCTCGCTTCAGCGAGCACAACAACGAGGGAAGGAAAATAGCCCGCTAAACAGCTCGCTTCAGCGAGCTGGCCCAAAATTGAAGGCTCAATTTTAAGCCTATAAATACAACGCGACGAAGGCTGTTAAGGTAGAATTCGAAAGACGGAAGAAAGGAGAACTCGGAGACGAAGGCAGAAGACAGAAGCGGAGGAGAAATTCTGGAGAGGAATTCCAGAGGAGGAGAAGGAGATTGAAGTTTCATCACTGATCATCAACCAAGTTTTATCATGAACCCCTTTTATCTTTCATTATTTATTAATTCTGATTTTATGAACATGTTAGGCTAAGTTCATTTATGTAGTTGGGATCATGGATCCGATGTGAATCCTAGTTATGGTTTAATTTAATTTCTTTAATAAATTGTTTTAGTTGTTTGTGTTTTACCTTGCATGAATTTCTATATCCTTGTATGAACTGATCACTCTTATTGGGATTTGAAGGTTAGGGCTCGCAATAGACATATTGGGGTTTTAATCCTGACAGGGGTAAAATACCAATTCTTGCATGATCTAGACATAGGCTTGCTTGAGTTGTAGACTTCATAATTCATCGCGTTTAATGCTTATTCTAAGAGGAATTACTAAGACATTAGGATTCTAATTAGAGTAGAGGGTTAAAGTCACTAAGACATTAGGATTTAACTAACTATTTTTAGAAGATGAATTGTCTGAAATATCTAAGGTGAATTATTATTGAATTTAATTTAAACTACTCTAGGAGGATCTGAGGTAAAATAAATTCTGGCTACAATTTATTATTACAGCTCTTTAATCGTATCTCTTCTTGCGTTCTTGAATATTCTTGATATTTACTGCAATTAATTTTCATTTTATTTTAATTAAAAAATTATTCTCAAAAATCAAATCGAATTATCCAAATTAAAGGGAATAGTTATAATAGTATTTGACGCATTAATCCTCGTGAGACGATATTCTTTCTCACTACTTTTGTTACTTGAAACGAACGGTATACTTGCCGTAATCGCAACAAGTTTTTGGCGCCATTGCCGGGGATTAATCACGCCAATATTATTCATAACTTTTCGATCTTTGAAATTGGATTTTATTAATATATTTTTTTCTAATATTATTCTTCTTGCTTTGATGGCTGGAAATAATCAGCCACATAATGAAAAGGAATTGATGGAGTCAATCCTCACTCCTAGTTTTACAAGGCCGAATTCAAGTATCGCGAGACCAACAATCGCAGATAACAATCGTCAAGAAAAACGGAGTATCAGATGATGCGTTGCGACTACGATTGTTCCCGTTTGCTGTAACAGATGAAGCACTCAGATGGCTGGAACGACTATAAGCAAATAGCTTCAGCACTTGGGAAGATCTAGCTGCAAAATTCTTGGCCCAATTCTTCCCAAGGGCAAAATACAACAGGCTAGTAAATGAAGTAACCAATTTCATTCAATTTGATGGAGAAACCCTATGTGCAGCCTGGAAACGATTCAAGGAGCTTATGAGAAAGTGTCCTCAATACGAATTGCAACCCGGACAAAAAGTTTGAATATTCTTCAACGGGATGACACCAACTTCAAGGATGGTTGTCAATGGTGCAGCTGGAGGTTCTATCAGGCAAAAGACACCCACTCAGACTCTAGAATTGATTGAGTCTATGGCAAGGATGGAGAATGAGAGTATAGCAGCTCAGGCAAAGAAAAGAGTCTTCCAATTAGAAGGTAATGATGCCATGTTAGCTGAGCAGAAACTTATCTCACAACAAATTGCCATTCTGAATAGCAAGTTTGACAAGCTTCAGGCTTCTATAGCTTAAGTTAAATCAGTATCCTGCGAATATTGTCGAGGAAAGCATGAGACTAATGAGTGTAATGTATTCATTGGAGCAGATGCAATTCAAGTTAATGAGATCTGGTATGATCAGAGAACTCAGCAGAATCCTCCAAGGAATCAAAACAATGCTTTGGGGGATACCTTTAACCCCAGATGGAAGAATCAAGGAGGTCTCAATTACAAATCGAATTAATATTTACAACCTTCACCAATTCCACAAAGTCAACCTTCTTAGTTAGAGAGAGCCTTATTGCAGTTGACAAAGGCCACTGATGTATTTATGAATAAGACAAGGTCTCATCACAAGAATCAAGATGCATCCATCAGAAACTTGGAAAGTCAAATTGGCCAACTTTCAAGACAGCTAGGTGAGAGGAGTCAAGGAACATTTCCTAGTGACACCATAATCAACCCGAAGGAGCACTGCAATGCCATCATTACCAGGAATGAGAAGTTAGAAAAAGAAGAAGTTGAAGTTTCTACAAGCAAGGATGAACAAGTCCAAAAGTATAAAGAAGAAGCAAATGAACAACCTCCTGCAGTTCAAAAGAAGCAATGGGATTTCTCACGTTTTGAGAAACCTCCATATCCCATGAAGCTCAAGCAACATGAACAAAGAAAGCAATTGTCTAAATTTTTAGATATTTTTAAGAAATTGCAAATTAACATTCCTTTTGCAGAAACTCTAAAGCAAATGCCTTCATATGCCAAGTTCCTGAAGGAGACATAATCTAAGAAGCGGAAGCTCACAGAGAATGAACCGGCTACACTAATAGAGGAGTGCAGTGGATTCTTACAAAAAAACTTGCCTCTAAAGTTAAAGGATCCAGGAAGCTTCAGTATTCCATGCACTATTGGTAAGACGACTATAGAGAAAGTCTTATGCGATCTTGGTTCCAGTATTAATGTGATGCCACTAACCTTAATGAAGAAGCCGAGAATTAATGAAGTGAAGCCAATTAGGATGACTGTTCAACTGGCTGACCGCTCAACAAAGCAAGCACATGGTATTGTGTAAGATGTGCTAGTCAAGGTAGACAAATTTCTAATTTTTGTTGATTTTGTTATTCTTGACATTGATGAAGATGCCAGTGTGCCTATGATCTTCAGGAGACCATTCTTAGCAACCTCAGGGGCGCTAATCGATGTACCTAAGGGTGAGTTGATTATGCGCGTGGATGGAGAGCGAACAACATTCAAGGTACTTACAAATGAAGCTCCATTGCCTGCATGTCAACCTAAAGATCAAGTTAATTACATTGCGGAGAAAAAAGGTTAAAGAAGAGAACAAGAAGGAAGTCCATCAGCGGCTTGAAGAACGCAAGCCAAAGGTTAAGATGGAAAAGTCCAAGAGCAAGGAAAAACATGTGAAGACTAAGTTTAAAGTTCCTGAGAACTTTCATCCTTATCCACATGCACATGAGTATAACCATGGCACGACACAAATTCTGAGCAAGGGTATGGTGTCATCACTGAGCCCGAGCTACTAGCCACCATGATCACATAGAGTACGTCAGGCTAATGACGTTAAACAAGCGCTTGTTGGGAGGCAACCCAACGGATTTATGCTTTTATTTTATTTTGCTGCATTTAGTTTTGTTTTTGTTATTTTATTTTATTTTAGTTTTAACTTTTTATTCATGGTGATGTATATTTGATGATTTTATTATGCTACTGCTTGTTTCTATTATTATTATGTGCTCCTTGTTTCTGATGTGTAGCCCATTGCTGAGGACATCAAAATTTTAAATCTGGGAATGGGGAGCACCGCATATACAGTAGCAGTTAGACTTCGCTGTGAGGATGAGTAGAGCTTCAATTTTTTTTTGAGATAAAAAGGGAACCTTCTTTTAACTTCTTTTTAATTATTATTTTTTTTCTCCTATTTATTTAATTTACTGATAATAATTAGATTATGCCAATGGAGAATTAGTCGGTGAAATTAATCCATTATGTGATGACTTAGGATATATTTTTTTTTTATGAATAAGCATTGATTGAGTTAGTCTAAGAGTCAGCAAAAATAATAAAATTTCAGTATGAGTGATTGAGAAAGAGCATAATTTACTGAATTGCACACCTATAGCCGTGAGGTTTTGAGCCTAAACAGAAAATTCTTTTCGGTGTGCACCTCAATGTTGAAAATACTTCTAGAACTTGCTTTGTTTCTCCTTGAACTGGTTGTTTACATGCATGTTTGAAATGATTGAGGCATTTTTATTGTTTTAGCTACTTAGCCAAAAAGCCAACCGTTATGATATCCTTTGTTTAGCCCTTTGAGCATAGGCATTTTCTTTTCTTAATACCTGTTATTTTAATTAGCCACTTCACATACACATCTACCTTAAATAGGATTGGATTGTAAAAATTTCATGGTAGGATGTAAACATGATTACTTCATCATGTAATTCTAAGTGGTGAAAAAGGAGGTTAGATGAGTTGAGCAAAAGCAAAGGTTGGAAAAATGGTGTAAAAATATTTATTGCTTCTATGCAAATAAAAGTGTTGAAAAAGAAAATGAAAAAGAAAAGTATTGGGGGTTGAAAAATAAATATATAGAAAAAAATAAAATTGCTGAAAAAGAAAAAGGAGGAAAGAAGGAGAAAAAAAATTATCTGTTTGAGTGTTTACACTTTACCATGATCTTTCTGTGTTCCAATGCTTTAGCTATTTCTCTTATTTATCCTTCCTTTAGCCAAGCCCCATTACAACCCGAATAAAGACCTCTTGATTTTTTATGCATGTTAATTATCTGTACAGAGTGAGAATATGACCAAGCTTATGAAAATATTGATACAGTGAAAGTTTGAGGGAAACACTTACCCTTAAACTGATGAGTAATGAGTGACATGATATATCTAGTGAGGGGTGTTTAAAATTCAGTTGCATGCTCGATTGATAGATCTCATGCTTTAATTTTATAACGTGTTTGCTTTCAATACTGCTTAGTTGAATGTTTGTTCTTAAACTTTGTTATTTTCTACCTAAGTCTGATCATTTTTAGATTGATGTACTGTCTAAGTCTTACATTAAGCATGATTTTTACACTTTTGCATTATCCCATGTTTCTGAATTGATTCATTACTGAGGACAACAATGAGTAAATCTGGGAATGTTTGATAAGTGTCAAAGACACTATGTCTTTAATGTCAAAAATAATTCAAATAATAATTAATATGATTAAAAATACAGTGTTAATTAATAAAATCTTAAAGAATATTAAAATGCCAACAAATAAATAATATTCTAATCCTTTTTATTGTTTCAGGTTGTTTCATACTGGAAAGAAGAAATTACTAACCTGATAAGGAGAAGGCAGTTGGCACCGGCTAAAGATAAAGGAAAAACAAGAAAATAAAGAATTAATAAAAATTAATTCTTCCTCGCTCTGCTTTTTGCTTCAGCGAGAAAGTGAGCAAGAAGCTCGCTCTGTTGCTCGCTTCAGCGAGCACAACAACGAGGGAAGGAAAATAGCCCGCTGAACAGCTTGCTTCAGCGAGCTGGCCCAAAATTGAAGGCCCAGTTTTAAGCCTATAAATACAACGCGACGAAGGCTGTGAAGGTAGAATTCGAAAGATGGAAGAAAGGAGAACTCGGAGACGAAGGCAGAAGACAGAAGCGGAGGAGAAATTCTGGAGCGGAATTCCAGAGGAGGAGAAGGAGATTGAAGTTTCATCACTGATCATCAACCAAGTTTTATCATGAACCCCTTTTATCTTTCATTATTTATTAATTTTGATTTTATGAACATGTTAGGCTAAGTTCATTTATGTAGTTAGGATCATGGATCCGATGTGAATCCTAGTTATGGTTTAATTTAATTTCTTTAATAAATTGATTTAGTTGTTTGTGTTTTGCCTTGCTTGAATTTCTATATCCTTGTATGAACTGATCACTCTTATAGGGATTTGAGGGTTAGGGCTCGCAATAGACATATTGAGATTTTAATTCTGACAAGGGTAAAATACCAATTCTTGCATGATCTAGACATAGGCTTGCTTGAGTTGTAGACTTCATAATTCATCGTGTTTAATGCTTATTCTAAGAGGAATTACTAAAACATTAGGATTCTAATTAGAGTAAAGGGTTAAAGTCACTAAGACATTAGGATTTAACCAACTATTTTTAGAAGATTAATTGTCTGAAATATCTAAGGTGAATTATTATTGAATATAATTTAAACTACTCTAGGAGGATCCGAGATGAAATAAATCCTGGCTACAATTTCTTATTACAGTTCTTTAATTGTATCTCTTCTTGCGTTCTTGAATATTCTTGATATTTATTACAATTAATTTTCATTTTATTTTAATTCAAAAATTATTCTCAAAAACCAAATCGAATTATCCAAATTAAAGGGAATAGCTATAATAGTATTTGGCGCATTAATCCTCGTGGAACGATATTCTTTCTCCCTACTTTATTACTTGAAACGAGTAATCGCAACACTTAACCACTCCACAATTTATAGTGTGTAGTTTTGTGGGAATTCTCTGTATTCTGTATTTATGTTTGATAGATTTGGTATGTTTGAACAAAATGTCCATCTTAAGGGTCAGTTCAGTATATATGCTTAACATTTAAAGTGAAAATTTTTAGTGACATTTATATAATCTTTTTTCTAAATGTATTCATTTTCATATTTAAAACCATACCACTATGTCTAGAGCTTCTTCTTCCCTCGATTCATTATTAACTTGCTTAGCATTTTGTGTTTGTCTGATTTTCTCTGAATTGCTTGATTGTGTGCCCTGTTTAAAGTTGAGTTTATTTTATCAATTAGCTGATTTAACTTAATTACTACAATTGTTTTATTGTGTCTGATTAATCTTAATTTATTGCATTACAAGATATAGTTTTTTAGGGGAATATAACGATTTTTTTAAAAAAAAGTAATAATCCAAAAGACTTTAATTTTCATTAAAATTGAAGAGAAAAATTCAAATCACATAACTATCCTGCGAGCCATTTCTTTCAATAGGAAATTCATGAATAGTGGTTTGGTTGAGATACTCACTGCAAAATGCTAAAATATTAAATTGGGTTAGACTGGGTTGATGACAGGTGGTTTCCCCACTATTTGTGTTAAGCAATATAGTATTGTCCAGTTTCAGAATATTCAGGTTTTTTTTATTAATGATTAAAAAAAGTATAAAAAGTATAAAATATTTTTTTTTTAAGTAAATTTAATTATAATTTGGACAATTATTTTTTACTGTATTAATGTTTTTACTTATCATGATCAAAAGGTAATAAAATAAAAAAAATAGTTAACACCTTCTTAATTCTTTTAAATGATAAAATAAAATGAAACACAATATATTTTTTAAAAATTAATATTTTAAAACGAAAGAAGTATTCATTTTACAAATATTATCATTCGAGAATAAATACGTCAATTAATAATATGAAAAACACACTAATATTTGAAAAATATGTCAGAGGTCTTGGTGCTTTCGTTCGGCACAATTCCCGTCCATTTGTTTCACATAATTTATATTGCTCAATTATTCTTTATTTGATAAAATATAATAACCACTTTAATAATAAATCTTTTTTTGGAAACATAATAAAATAATAAAATATTTAATTATCGTTGGGAAAACCCCTCTCCTTTTGTTGACATTATTTAATTTAATTTATTTTTTACTTATTCCAAATATTTTGACATCTTTATTGATGTGTCCTGGTAATAAATGGAGGACATTTGCGTGCGTTCGAACTTTGATATTGACATCTCAACTTCTAAAACAAATATTCTATTATTTTCGGAGTTGCAATCTATATGGACGGAACAATAATTACAGCTTTACAAGCATTTCTCTTTCTTTAGTCTTATTAATTACAAAGAGGAGTCAAAGGTGCGCCAGCATTTTCTTTTTGCTTTCCTTAACTTTTTTAGACGCGGAATCCATAATAAACTTCAATACTTCAAATTCAAATCATGTGTTTAAGCCCAAGTGTATTTTTTAATGTTATGTCATCTATGTTGGAAGGTTCATGGGATGATATAGACATATAGTGTATCAACTTGTAAGATTGTTTCCATTTTTTAATGTTATAAATATTCAGAAAAGATGCGCTTCTTCTTGTCGCATACGTTTAGTATTAATATATATTTAATAGTTTTGTGATCATTTATCTTCATCTTCCTATGTAGTGTATGTTGAATCAATCATATGCACCTATCCTATAATAAATTCTCCTGATATGCATTAATTACTTAAAACAAAATATGAAACAACTAAATAAAGGGATAAAAATATTGGGAAAAGTGTTTGTCATTTTAAATGACATAAAATTATGTTATTTTACGAGAGAGATAGACACAAAATAAATTTTTTATTTAAAATTTAAATTAAAAAAAACCACCAACTTTTTCCCCCATGATTTTCATTTTTGTGTCTACTTTCTCCTAAAATGACATAATTTATGTTATTTAAAATGATAGACATCAAACCCAAAAATATTATGCCTATCTTTTATACCTATTCTAGCTATTTCTCTCCGATATCTTTAGATTATAATATCAAGAAAAGAGAAAAGAAGGTGAAAGTGGGTTAAAATTGTGATTTAACAGTATTAAAAAGGAGTAATTAGAGCATGTATAAAAAATAGTTATAATATCCTATCCCGTAAATAAAATCATTTAATATTTTAAGAATTTGAACAACATTATCTAATCTATATAACGATTAAGAGGATTACTACACTACTTCAATAGAAATATATCATTTTCAAAAAAAAAAAAAAGTTGAATATTTATAGTAAAGACTAACAATATCATTTGTGAATAGCTACAAAAATAGGAAAAAGCAACCCCAAACATACATACATATATATATATAGAGAGACATAAATTCACCGAATTTAATGTGTTCTTGGTTCTACCTATGCCTCAGCGTCAGTTCATTTTCATTCCCTCATTCTCATAACCAAAATCAAAGCTCATCTAAAACTGTGCACGTACTTATTTAACATCCCACTCCTCTCTCTCTCTCTCTCTCTCTCTACTGCTTCTTCTTCAACTTTGAGATGGTATGTGCTCTGATCCCTCTTCTTATATATGCTTCTTAGACATATTTGATATATGATATCTCTTGTTCTTTGTATATATTATGATCATTTATGTGATTTTTATTTTTATTGGGGAATCGATGGCTGTTTTCCGGCACCTAAGAAGGTGGTTTTAGCCTTTTGGATGGCCAAAAGAGTGGTATTCCGACGCATGCATACATATATACAACCACACATTCTCTGTTTCTGGACATAGAAAATAAGCATTATATAAATATATTTGTGGGGTGTGTGAATGGAATATTTTACAATATGATTCGCTCTTCACTTCATGTGAAAGCTAAATCAAAAAAGAAAAAGTTGATGTTATTGTTGTTTAGTTCCCGGGCATAATGCCTTAGAATGTGGTCGACCTAGTTGTATTTGTTTTGATTGGCTTTAAAGGATGGCATATCTTGTGTTTTTCGCTGTTATAATTAAAACGTTACAGGTCCTACATCCATTTTGAGGTTTTGCTAAAACCTCTTTACAGAAAATCTAGAAATTAACTAATTAGTAATTCTAAAAAGGAATCAAAAACTAAAAAATAGACTTCATTATATGACATTTGTTTAGACCTTGATTTTTTTAAAATTTTTTAAAAGTTTCTAAGCCCAAAATTATAATAAAAAAAATATCCAAAATTTGATGTCTACTAAAAATATTTTGATCTTAGCTTCGGTTTAGACCTTAATTTTTGTTTTTACTTGGTGTAGAACTCTCTTTCTCCAGCTTTGTTTTATGGTCAAATTTTGTCCACTATAGATGTTCGGCGGATTCTACTTTACTTCCAATTTGCAGGCCAAAACGGCATTGTAGTCGTCGCCGCTTTTACTTTCCATAAGAAAATTCAATTAAATACGACGACACATTTTTTTTATGGGAAATGTCTATATATATATATATATATATATATATATATATATATGGATATATGTAGGAAAAACAAATAATTGCAATATGTTGTAGTCTCTATAAAAAAATTGCTTATTTTATCTATATATATGGGTTATATTAATCTCATGTTAAATGTGATAGTTATCTCATGTCATAGAGATAAATTTGTGGGCTCTACCACCTGAAAAAATTAAAGAAAAAGGTGGCACAGTTATCGAAAGGTGTGTAAGAGAGAAAATATATCTTATGCAACATAAGAATAATTTTCCCCATATATATATATATATATATATATATATATATATAATTCTTTTCAAATATCTTATATAATTTGTGATTATCACTATCTATTTCTTTATGATTGTATAGAAACATGTTTGAGAAAATAAAAATGTGAAAAATGGTTGTGCAGGTGAACAAGGAAGAGAAGAAAGGGACAAAAATTGTGCTCACAAAGCCGTTGACTTTTGAAGGGGAATCTGATTCAGACGAGGCTTATAGAGCCCCTAATCTTTTGCAACGTATACTAAGTTTATTCAAGAATGTACGGCCAGGATCTGATCTCACACGCTTCCAGGTAACTTCTCTTCTTTCCATGTTTTGGCTTAAACTTTAGCCTATCAAGTTTGCTATTTTTTTGTGTGTCAGCAATCCTTAATGGCACTAATTAATGAATACATTAATGAATACATTTATGAGTCAAAACATTAATGTATACATTTATGGTTAATGAGCGAAAATTGTACCCCATTGGGACCAAATAATATCCCAACTGCCAACTCCCAAATAATGATCAGAACGTAAAAGCCATTTAAAATTCTAGAAACTCGTAAAATAAAAAATTACTAAAAAAGTCAATTATTTTACATATTTTGTTAAAGGTGTTTGAAGTTTCTGATGTTCTAATAAATAAAATTATTTCTTAAACATATAAAAGTGTGTGAAATTCATGTGGGTTATGTGAGGAAAAGAAAGAGAAGGAGAAAAATTAATCTTCGTACATTTTTATGTATATATAATAAACAATTTTATTTCCGGATAAAAAAAAATTATTTCTTATAATATGATAAACTTTAAATCTTTGTTAAAATGAGTTAGCATTCTTGTTAAATTTTAGTTAAATAAGCAATGCTGTTTTGACTTATCCAACAATTATTTTTAAATTTTTATAAAGGGTTCACTTTTTCTATAGTCAATGTAGATAAGTTATCTACATTGAGCCCAAAACGATATCGATTTGAGGTGGAAATCAATGTATTTTTGTAATTCTAATTTATTTCAGGGTTATAATAGTTTTTTTTTTATAATTTTTTAACCCAAAATGACGTCGTTTTGGGAGCGAATGTAATAACATTCATGGTAGAAACATTAAAGCGTTTTATAAATTCTAACTTAATTTTACAGTATGATAAATAAGTGTGACTAATAATTTTTTTTTCTAAAGAAGTCCATAACCTGTGTGAGAATGAGGATGATAGATAAAGTGTTGGTAGAACGGTTTGGACTATGATAAATAAGTGTGCCTATCATTTGGGTCACCGTATTATTACAAAAAGTGATGAAAACCTTTTGCCTTACTTCATGATTTGCAGCTGTCACCTATGTTTAACATACCAAAGTCACAACTTCAGTGCTATGGTGAATCGGTGTATTGCAATGCTTTGGACTTGCTAAGCATGTGCAACAGTGGGCAGAGTCCGCTTGATAGGTTCATATCTGTGGTAGCATGGTGCATATCTACAACACGCCCTGCCACTTTTGGTGTTGCTCCTTATAATCCCATTCTTGGTGAGACACACCATGTTTCAAAGGGAAATCTTAATGTGTTATTGGAGCAGGTACTTACTTCTCAATTCTGCATTTCCCTATTTCTAATATATAAAACTTTATTGCTAAATGCTTAATTTGGCTGCAAAATGCTAAAACCTTACCTTGTTCTGATTTCCTTGATATCCATGTCTGCAGGTTTCACACCACCCTCCAGTAACTGCCCTCCATGCAACAGATGAGAGGGAAAACATAGAAATGATATGGTGCCAGCAACCTGTTCCAAAGTTTTATGGTATCTTCACCTTTCTATCAAGTGCTACATTTGATAATTTCTAGCCCACCCAAAAGATAGTTTTGTATTTTGACAAAACCATTAGGAACTCACAATGTCTATGTTTATTTGAATCCACATCTATGCAACACATTGCCTATAATGATGTTTTGATCACAATTTTGAATGATTGTCTTGTATTCTTAAATTCTTCACAAATGATCTCGAATAAGTATATATGTCAATTTCAACTTTGAAGTTCTCAATGTATAGCTCCTTATGTAAAAATATGTTGATATATATATATATATATATATATATATATATATATATATGTATCTCAAATAAAATATGCAGGTACATCAGTTGAAGCTCAAGTGCATGGTAAACGGCAACTGAAGCTCCTAAATCATGGTGAAACATATGAAATGAATTGTCCTCACCTTTTATTTAGAATTCTTCCGATTCCTGGAGTTGATTGGGTTGGTCCAGTTAATATACGGTGCCTAGAGACTGGCCTAGTAGCTGAGTTGTCCTTCAGATCAAGTCATTCTTTTCTAGGCCTCGGAGGAAATCATAAAGTGATCAAAGGGAAGATCATTGACTCTTCATCTTTGAAAGTTTTATATGAAGTTGATGGTCATTGGGATAGGTATTATCTTCCTTCTAAGCACATCTATGAACTTTCACCTTTTGTTTTGTCATTTACACACTAAAAGTATGTAAAGTGGATAATAATAGAAGTAAAGGAAAAAAAAATCTTATATTGAAGCTAAGCCAAGCAAACATTGATTAATGGCAAGTTGTATAATTGATTAGTTATTCACTTGTAACGTGCCTAAATCAATTTCAAGAATTATGCCTTTTTAACTATAGAGCAGTTCTTATCCAATTTGTTATGCAGGATTGTACAATTGAAGGACAAAAATAATGGGAAAGTGAGAGTAATATATGATGCAAAGGAAGTAATTTCAGGTCTCCAAACTCCTATTCTCAAGGATGCAGAGGTACTAGACGTCTATTCTCTGCCCCCATTCCTTTATCTTATGTTATTTATTTATTAAGTATGAACCAAAATCTTTGTGGCATGCCCTGAAATGTCTTTTCTAATGGGGAAAATTATGTGCTTGTTGAGGTATCAAAATATTAAAAATGAAAAACGGGGCTATTGTTTATTTCATGATTACTTAAGAGTTTGGACTAGTATAATTTGCATGTGTATAATAAGTCCAAATATCAGCACCAAAAAGAAAGAAGCATATTTAGGTACTTTCATACACAAGAGACAATTAAGCTTATTGTTATAGTAATTTAGTGTCATGTTTTCATGAATGTGACATGGGATTCTCTTGTTGATTAGTGTGTGTGGCCAACAGAATCAGCCCATGTATGGAGTGAATTGAGCCAAGCCATTATGAGCAAAGAATGGGAAAAAGCAAGAGAAGCAAAGCAAGCAGTGGAGGAAAGACAAAGGGAGCTCACGAAAGAAAGAGAGTCAAAAGGAGAAACTTGGGTTTCTAAGCATTTTATGGTATCTTATAGCAAAGATGTAGGGTGGGAATGTTCACCTATTCATAAATGTGTCTCAGTTGCCCCTATTGTATCTGAATAATTGTTACTATGGAGTATTAGTTATCATTTTCTTTTGCATAGATATGTGTCTTACTTTGGAAGGGACGCAGGTTTTGTGCGAGACCAGCAATAGGACCCACATAGATGTGTTTATGCTTGAGTTAGATAGAAAAATTCTAACGTGCGGTTAGAATTTTCTTATTCTAAGAGAATCTTCACCACAGATTTAAAAAGGAAAAAGAGATTGAAAAATAAATCAAAGCTGCATATATCTTGCTAGGAATTTTCTTTTACATGATTATTGTAATTAACCTTCTCTAAATTTTAAATATATTTATCATTCGGGATATTATTCTTACACCAGTATAATAAGAAGCCTTATATCAAATTTTAGTCGTTGATTCACTTGCATTTAACAACTCATATATTTAATAAATCAGAGTCGTTAAATATAAATTAAATCAACGATCAAGATTAAGAGTATGTGTATGAAATGATCTTACCCTTATCTTATCATAAAGCTCTTATAAAATTTTCCACTCTTTAAAAGAGTATCTAACATTTAAGTTTTAAGAACACAAAAGTTTAACTATATTTAAATTAGGATTTTATCTGTGTCACTATAAAATTTTAGAGTCTCCTGTTGACACAACAAATATGATAAGGCCTACAATGTTTTTAAAAAAAATGGAAATAAATTAAAAATGCTAGAGAGTTTGTGGCATACAAAAATCACTTCTGCAGTGATAACAAAAGTAATTTTTCCTTTAAATTAAGGGAAAATCGTAACAGAAAATCTCACTTCTCTTACGACAGACATAGATTTTAAAGTGGGTCCATCACTTAATGAAAAGCAAAAAAAATTGCTGGCACTGTTTCCCATGAACAATATTGTCAAACTCGAGTTTCTACGTAGAAACAGAAAGAAGTGATAGAAACTGTTGAGATATATAGTCCCACAGTGGTTGTATGTACAACTAATGTGGAGTTTATAAGGTCTTGGGCACTCCCACCCTTTGAGCTAGCTTTTGGGGTGGTGTATCCCAAGGTTCTTTACATGGTATCAGAGCCTCGCCGTCCCCCACTTTCTCTTGTGGCATTTCTTAGCACAGATAGGCTGGGCCTGTTGCATTGTCCACTCTTCAAGCCCAATGGGCTCTTGTGTGAGGGAGCGTGTTGAGATATATAGTCCCACATTGGTTGTATGTGCAACTAATGTGGAGTTTATAAGGCCTTGGGCACTCCCACCCTTTGAGCTAGCTTTTGAGGTGGTGTATCCCAAGGTTCTTTACAGAAATATAAAACGTAAAAACGACACGAAACATGAAGTTTCTACTTTCTACCACTTAAGGTCAAGATACAAAATTATATATATGCATGTAAAAAAAATATCACATAATGAACATGTGGTTGAGCCACTTATCTATCCAAAAAGGAAAATTATTTTTCATAACCAAGTATCAAAGTTATAAACAGTGATAATTAACAAGTAATGAATAACTAATCTGCTCTAACTGCTTTATACACTCTGCAGATTTTGGATCATCGCTCTTCAGGATATAATTCCACTTCTTTCAATGCATACAATGATCCAAAAACACAAAACGATTCTCATGGCATAACTTAGAATATAATTGCAGCTTTATAAGACATAATTATAAAAAACATATATCCAAACAAAAAGATATTAAGATACTGTGAATATGATTCGGGAAAACGAAAATTAGGTTTATTTTAAAAAAAAAATTTGTAAATTTTTTTTATTAAATTTTTAGTTTTAAGTAAAAACGGTCAAAACACTGTTTTTACGTTTTTACGTGGCGTTTCCACCAGTTTTTATCAATGATAGTGTTAACTTGAGTTTTAACACGTACCACTCTAGTAAAAACACAAATTTTTACATTTTTACACTAATTTTTGACAACAATACCCATAAGTGTGCAAGAAAATTTTCCTTCTTACGTTCCCATCAGAAGTGTAAACCCCTTAAATTACATAGAAACGAAGAATAGTGGTTTGGTTGATATACTCACTGCAAAATGCTAAAATAATAAATAGGGTAAGACTGGGTTGATGACAGGTGGTTTCCTCATCATTTATGTTAAGCAATAAAATATTATCCAGTTTCAGAATATTCCATTTTTTTTAATTAATGATTACTTTTTTAAAAGTAAATATAGTTATATTTGAATAACTTATTTTTTACTGTTTTGATGTTTTTACTCATCATAAGGCAATAAATAAATAAAAATTAATTCCTTAACTCTTTAAAATGATAAAATAAAATGAAACTAAATTTATTTATTTATTTTTAAAATTAATATTTTAAAATGAAAGAAGTATTCATTTACAAAAATGAACATTAGAGAATAAAGAAATACGTTAATTAATAAAATAAAAATGCACTAATATTTGAAAAATATGTCATAGGTCTTTACACTTTCGTTCGGCACAATTCCCGTCCATTTGTTTCACGTAATGCACTACATTTCTTGCTCAATTATTCTTTGATAAAATATAATAAACTCATTTATAACCTCTTCTCCCACTACTAAAAAAATAGGTATAAGTAGAGAAAAATTCGATCTCTAAAAAATTTAAATTCGTCCCTAAATAAATTAGGGATAAAATTTGAGACGAATTTTTTTTCGTTTCATAGCTAATATTTTGGGATAGAACTTTAGTTCCGTGGACGGAATAAAATCCATCTTGAATATGTATTTTTCGTCCCTAATATTGTCATTAATTTTAATCTAATAGGGATGAAATTAGGGAATGATTTTTTCATCTTAAATAGGGATACACTGTATCCATCCCTAATAGAGATAGAATCATGGAGGATTTTTTCCATCTCAAATAGGGACAGAATATATCCGTGCCTAATTGGGACAAAATTGGTCTGTCCCTACGAGGGACATAATTTTTTTGTCCCTAATTTCGTACCTACTTACAAAATTTCTTAATATTCAATAAAATATTTCAAATTTCTTGTAACAAAATTTATACATGATAATCATCGTAATATAAATCATCAAAGTCATATAACAAATGAAAGCTAGTCCGAAACGTATAAGAATTATAATCATACAAACCATCATTGTCGTAACCAAATGTATAAAAAGGTTATAAAATGTCTATCAACTATCCTCGTGTAACTGGGCATCACAAACATCATCTTTTGCATCATCACTAGCTTGAACCTCCTTGTATACCTCACGAGTAGGAGGCGTAGCAGTGGACATAGAGACATAAGCCATCAAAATCGCCAGCTGCACTTTCATAATCAGTGGCGGACCCAGAATTTTTTTTTTATGTGTGCACATTTAACACGGGGGTTGGGGGCAGCGCCCCCGAAGTTTTTTTAAAAGAAAATTTTAAATGTATAGGGTTTAAGCTTTAAGCTTTTAATTATAGTGGTTGGTTGGGTTGAGCCCATGTTAGTTAAAATCCCGATTTATATCTGTGATTTTATGATTTTACGATTTTTTTAATCAAAACGATTTCATCAAAATTCCAAACACTTTTACGATTTTACGATTTTTTTACGTTAAGATTTTACGTTTAATGATTTTTTATCCTCCTTCTGATTTTAGGTAAGATCCCGATTTTAACTACTATGAAGATCCCGATTTTAACTACTATGGTGGGGCTTATGTTTACTTTTTTCTTTTCAATCTTCTTAAATCTTTTTTTTTACTTTACCTAAATCACCCACCCCTTTGAATTTTTTTTTTCTAAAATGTTTGTGTCTGCATGTGCAGACACATGCAACACCGTAAGTCCGCCGCTGTTCATAATAGTCATCTCTGTTTGCAACTCTTGATCATGTGTGGATATGGTTGTCACTAGCTCTCTTATACGATTATACTTATATGTAGAGACTCCTTCAGATGAACTAGAAGACTTCTGTGAAACCAAAATCTACTTGCCTCTGCACCTAAACCGAAAATGCGCTCCTTTTTGTTCATACCCCCAACAGTCTGCAGGAATAATTCATTATCACATTGGCGGGTGGATGTGACATTTCCAGTCACCATATCACATTCATTCCTCTACTCGAGGAATTTATCCTAAAAATAAACATATTACATTAGTCATCAATAGAAGTGGCATTTTTATAAACGCATAGGCATTTCAAAAAAGGCATATTGTTTCAATAAAATGTAGTAACTTATCTATAGCTCTCTCCAACATACTTATGCAGATTACCAAGTAATATCATGCGTCAAACCAAAAATTACAAATGAATATTTAGGTTGCTTTCAAGGCAGCAACTAAACGAACAAGATCAAATTATCGACATCACTTTATGAACTTTACAAAGATTACAAGTCAGAAACCAAATTTTCTTTTCCAAACAAAATTTAATCATATCATAATTTTAAGCAAACACACATTTAAGACTATAATCAAGCATAATTCAATAAAAACAATGTTATAAAAATGTTGAACTACACACACACACACAAACACACACACACACACACACATATATATATATATATATATATATATATATATATATATATATATATATAAAATCGAGACAATTACTAAGGTGATTAAAGTCAACATGTTCATATTGTTTTCGATTTGTACACACATTTAGTTCAACTAAATTCATATGCTTACAATTAGTTTTGTATGATCAAGGATAGTTATTCAATTGTATAAGTATATGGTAATGCAATTAACCTTTTAGCAGGGCCTGTTTGATATATGCTCCAATCAGAGTTATTGTTAGTCTCATTTATCCATAATGAAAATAGAATAAATAAAGATGAAAATAGAAACCACCAACAATGTCCATAATTTTATAGGTAATGGAAAGAAAATTACAGCAACTTCCTTTGTCCTCTGGGAAGTCCACGAGCTGTCCCTTTTAACCATATGAGTCTTCTCATATAGCAATCAATCTATTGAATATGGAGGGTTTTCTTCCCTCTATAACACAAAAGTTCAGCCAATTAAACATGATGAAAACATTGAATAATTATTTATAATTATCGAAACTTATAATTTAAATTAATTACCAATCTT